CGATAAGCAAGATGCCATATATTACCAAATATAACTTGAGTACAATGTGACATAAATGGTGTCTAGGCATGCCACCTGCCATATAATAAGTGCTTAATAAAGAACTTGTTGATCATATGATCAGAAAAGGAAGCAGATTGCTCATGTAGAAAGAACAAGCACTATCAGATGGACAGTTTGGGTATTACAATCCTGAAATAGTATCCTGAATCATTATTCTGTTTTGCCATTTTCAGAATTTAATACTCTTCATTGAGATTGGGGTGGGGAGGCTGTGTCAGTATGAACACATTCTATATGGAAAAAAAAGCCACAAAGACATAACAGTTCATGTCATGTCTCGAAGTATCCTGGACTTGGTGGGAAAGGAATAGACTTCCTTTCATGACTCTTTTTTTTGGTTGGGCAATGGGGTTGAGTGACCTGCCCAGGGTCACACTGATAGTAAGTGTTATGTGTCTGAGCCAGGATTTGAGGAATAGACTTCCTAAAAGTGACCTGATTGGACCCACAGAGTTATAGATATAGCTAATAAAAGCTACCATTTATATAGTACTTACTATGTGCCAGGCACTATATTAAGCACTTCACAACTATTCTCATTTGATTCTCTCTTTTTTTTCTTTTTTAAGGCAATTGGGGTTAAGTGACTTGCCCAGGGTCACACAGCTAGTAAGTGTCAAGTGTTTGGTCTGAGTCTGGATCTGAACTCAGGTCCTCCTGACTGCAGGGCCATTGCTCTATCCACTGTGCCACCTAGCTGCCTCTCTCATTTGATTCTCAAAACAATAGTGAGAGGTAGGTTCTATTATTAACCTCATTTTATAGTTAAGAAACTGAGGCAAACAGAGATTAAGTGACTTGCTTGGGGTCACAGAGTTAGTAAGTATTTGCAACAAGATTGGAACTGTCTTCCTGACTCCAGGCGCAGTGCTCTGTCCATTACACCTCCTAAATGGGTAATAGGAAGAGATAAATTCATCATATTCTCAGTGCAGAGCAGTGTCACTTGCATCGTCCTACCAGTCTTGAGTTAAGATGGAGAAGTTTCAGAAAACAAATATCTGGAATAGGTGTCTGATTGAGTACAAACTGTTTAACCAGTTCTGCTTATACATTTGAAAACAAAGGACAATATAAACTATAGAACTACTAGGAAATTAAAGGTTCTTATTCAAACATGTTTCTTTGAGATATTTATCAGAGTGAGATTCTCTTGTAAATGATTCATCCTACCTTGTTGTAGGTCATATGTTTGGGTTTTAAGCACTTCCCCCCCATTTCTTTAATGTATATGTGTATCACAATATATCATTGTGAATTGCTACCCAGCTGTAAACCATTTGAGGATGGGGACCATGTTTTAGCTAACCTTTATTGCCTCTAAGATTTGGTTCAGTGCCACTTAATAATCACGATTTTTCTGAATTGTTTTTGAAATTCCTTTTATTTGGTTAAGAAAATGCAGTTTTTCCTTTTTGAATCTTTTCTAAAATACTTAGGGCACACACAAGAAAGGTCTTTTTAAAGAAATAACAGGCATTACTACTTGGATTGGCTATCAGATATTCAATAACAAGTTTGCAGCTAGGTGATGTGGTAAATAGAGCACAGGGCCTGAAATCAAGAAGATCTGCATTCAAATGCTGCATTGGACATGGAATACTAGTGTAACACTGGGCAAGTCACTTAACCTGTTTGCCTCAGTTTCTACATCTGTAAAATGGGGGTAATAGCACCTGACTCCCAAGATTGTTGTGAGAACCAAATGAAATAATTGTAAAGCTAAGTGCCTGGAACATAGTATGTGTTGTATAAATGTTTGGCTATTAGCTAACCAGATCATTTGACTACAACCCAAGAAACTAGGATTTGGGTTCCATTTCACTGAGCACTTAGTTATGGGACCTTTGGAATATTATTTCATCTCTCTGGGCCTTCATTTACATAAAATTAAGGATTCAAATAAATAATCTGCACTCACTTTCAGCTCTGAAGTTTTAGGTGTCTGACACCAAGTAAATGATGTTGTACTCAGAAGGAACAAAGATTGAACCCATGACCACCATCTGGTGGCAAAAATACATAAATGCAAACTTCCATTCTTGATGTGAATCTATGGTCCTCAGAAATTATAAGATTTGGAGTTTCAAGGAGTTTTATGTTATCTACTCAAACACCTTCATTTTAAAGATAAGGGAACTAGCCCAAAGTGGTCAAGTAATTTGATCGTTTATTATTTACTAATGATTATTAAGTAGCAAAACTAAAATTTGAACCCTGGTCTGCTGACTCCAAATCCAAATAGATATCTAGACAACATATAGGCTTTCTATTCCTTCTTCTTCCCCTCCAAATGGAGTAGCTCTCCAGCAGAGCCGCAACTTTGCTATGCTCATGGGATTAAGGAAAGTGATTGAATAAACTTATAGATATCTTCCATACTTCATTTTAGCCAGAACAGCCACTTAAGAGCTGTGATAATTTGGTCTTAGGTAATCTGGACAAATAAAATTTATATATAACCCACTGACAAATTCTAATGATAAAATGACCCATGATAATCAATAGAAGGAAAAAGACAGGTAATTTAATAGACTGGTTATCCCATTTATGTTTGCATATCTTGCATATGTACAAAGTAATTTTACTTTATAATCCATGTAATCTTTTCACAATTATAAATAAAATTGCATTTCTGCTACTTTAATTTATTTCTTGATTTGTATTTGTCCTTTTTCACCTGCCCACTATTGGTGACTCTAAGTTAAAAGAATACTTAATAGAACCAGAAACAATTTTAACAAGAGTCATCAAAAATCTTGGTTGGTTGTGTCTCCCAGGCTACCTTCAGGTTTAATTTAGGCTTCATTAATGTTTGGGTTTTTTTTATTTTTTTAAATCTTTATCTGCACAGTGAGAGGATTGGATCAAATGCAGTCCTTCTCCAAATTCAATGAAGGGAGAAAAATGCAGGGAAGAGTAAGTACATTCCTCAGCAGTATGATTTTAGGTTGTCCCCCCCACCCCCACCCTGGGAAATACTAAGGATATTCTTGTATAGAGTTGGCACATAGTTACATATCCTTTTTCTTTGTACAAAACATCAGGATATTCATTGAAAGGTCTACAACTATTTAGAGTATTTAGTAAATTATTATACTATGAATTTGTCGTGAGAAATTACATATATGTATTCTTTCATTTTCCTTAATATTTGAATCTATGTAGTAAATAGGAAATAAACATCAATCAATAAATATTTATTAAGTGCCTCCTACATGCCAGGCACTGTGCTAAGCACTGAGGATACAAAAAGAGGCAAATATAGTCCCTTTCCTCAAGGCACTAAATGTGAAAAAGTAGTTACAAACAGAAGTGAGTTAATAAAATCAAATTTTCCATTATCTATATTTTAACTGGGCGATTAAATGTATAACACTATTGTGGCTGTTAGCTAGATGGTGTAGTGGATAGAGTGCTAGATTTTGAAGTTAGGAAGATCTAACTTCAAATCCAGCCATGTGACCCTGGATAAGTCACATAATCTTTATTTGTCTCAGTTTCCTCATCTGTAAAATGGAGATAATAATAGTGCCTACCTCCCAGGGCTGTTGTGAAATCAAATGATATAATAATTATAAAGGGCTTAACACAGTGCTTGGCACATAGCAAGCACTATGTTGTTGTTATTATTATTAATTACTATTTTATCATTATTATTATATCATTATCATTATTATTATTATTACTACTACTACTACTACTACTGGAGTTTGCATCATGTCTCAGATACTAGCTATGTGACCCCTGGCCAAGTCACTTACCATCTCTTAGTTTCTTCATCTATAAAATGGGGATCGCAATACTGTTTATCTCACAGGGTCACTGTGAGAATCAAATGAGTTAATATATTTAAAATGTTTCAAACCTTAAAGAATTATATAAATATTAGCTATAGCTATTTAAAGTTTACAAAGTGAGTTGCATATACCATCTCAAAGTCTATTTTTGGATCTCTTACAGCTGAAGATCTTACACTTTTTTTTTCCCCGAAGCCTTCAGACAAGAGAAAAATACCTCAGAAGTCAATTTGAAATTAATTTTTTTTTCAAATTTTCATGTAAGAGACACTCCAAGTCTTCACATATTTGAATTACAGCCAACGAAGTCCTTAATTTGGGGAAGGGCAAGAAAGTTGAACTTTGTTACCTGAAAAGCATGTTAGATTAATAATTCTTCAACAATTTCTAGGGCTTTCTACTTTTATGCTTAGGGGAACACAAATAATTAACCTTTAGTCTAAGACACACTTGTAAATGAGATATTAAGAAAAGTTTTGATTTAAAGAGGTAGGAACAAAACTGTACATGTGGCTGTTTTAATATTTTCTTATTACCCTATTGTCTCTTGGAATCATTACCAAATTCTTCTATTTTGATCCAACTTTATACATTTTCAAGAACTTTTGGAGATATCTGAACTGTCAGTTAAACAGAAGACTTAATGAAAATGTTTTTTTCAATCACCATTGAGTAATAAGATTTAATGGGCAGCTAGGCAGTGCAGTGGATAGAGCACCAGACCCACAGTTAGGAAGACTCCTCTTCCTGAGTTCAAATCTGGCCTCAGACACTTAAAATCCTAATTGTGATCCTGGACAAGTCACTTAGTGCTGCTTGCTTCAGTTCTTCATCTGTACAAATGAGCTGGAGAAAGAAATATCAAACCACTCCAGTATCTTTGCCAAGAAAATCCCAAATGGGGTCACAAGAAGTTGGACACAACTGAAACAATTCAACAATAACAAAAATTGAGGCTTACTATATGCTTTGAGAAAATTGAATTAAATATGTGCTAATGAAAATGGCATTTTAAAATTGTACCATACCTCCTAAAGTTCACAACTTTTATAGAAGATTGCTAGCAGCACACTATCACAACTTTAGCAGCAGTATAAATATACCAATGTCTCACTCAAAATAAAAAGAAAGAAAGCCTTTGGTTTTGTACATAGAGGTATTTTATTGCAAAATTCTCAGGACCAAAAATGAATATTTACAATAGGATTTACCCATGAACACCACCATTAAACATCTTAAAATATATTTGGAAAAAACAGAGTGCATTTCAACAAACAAACCTTATCACAGAGGGGAAAGAGGATGTCTGAGATAAAACTTAATTAAGAAACACATATCACATTAGCCCCATTATGAGTTAATATTAGTAACTGTTTTTCCAAATGGAGCACTATAACTCATAGACCTCTTATCAGTATGTTTTACTTTTACTAGAATATATTGGTGGGATTGTTTATGTTAATTCCATTCTTTTTTGAATTGTAAATATTTGATCAGTGGATATATTCCAAAAATTTTAAGGGGTAAGCTGATTTTTCTTAAATCTTGTATTACTGAATAGCTATGTGGGGAAAAAAAGGTTTACTAACATTTATTGCACTAACATTGTAGATGCCAAAAAATGTCTTTCTATAAAATGAAGAGGTAAGTGTCTAGTTTTGCAAATAACAACCATTCTTATTCTTAAAGGTCAGTGTGATATTGACTTTTTTACTTCTTATATATTTTGCTTAAAATCTAAGGATCGCTGTCATTTCCATGTATACTGATTTTATAAGAATATATTTTAAGATCAGATTGCTTTTACTTTTGTTTTTCTTCCTTCTCTCTCTTTATGGCCACAAGGTTAGCATTTAGTGCATTACTGATGGCTCATTTTGTCAAAAAAACCTTTTTTTTAAAGAAAAGATACAGTGAAAATATAAAGAACAGGAGCAGAAGTGGCATCACATGCCCTGCCCAATCTTATTGTACAGTCACTATAGTTACACTTTGCAAACACTTTGCAAGAGCACTGTATCAATTTTTATCTAACTCAAATCACTGAGCTAGCAAATGAAAAATTTTATTTTCATGTCATACCCAATATGGGTGGTCAGAGTAAGTAATAAAGAAAATTGCTTTCTACAGTTTTTATGTATCAACTCAATTTGATACATGTATTTTCTAAGTTGCCATAAAATGCTTTAAAACCACATAGAACTAATGATGCACTTCTTTAACATAGGTAAAACTTCCACTGAAATTGAAGGAAGTTAATAAAGGATCTTTAGTACGTCCCAGATCATGGACCTCTAAGCTCATGGCTCCTGTCTATTTTTCAAGATATAAGTTATTAAGCAGTACAGTATTTTCTTCTTAATGCATTAGGCTAGTTAGAAATAATACCTAAGTGCAGTCTAAAATCAACTTTCTGAATGGAATAAAGGCAAAGTTCTTTTGCCTGATAAGAACAGCAGAATCAGACTGTCAAAAACACAATCTTTTATTAGATTAAGGACTATTAAATTAATAACTTTGAAATTACCCATGTCTTGTAAAATTGTTATATTGCACTTGAGAACAAAAAAGAAAAGATTCGGTACCTATCCCCAAAAATTTCACTACCTAGCATATACTCTTCATGTTGGCAGTCTATAGAGGCTTACTCCAAACCACTTCACCAAGTAAAGAAAGGTACACTACAAAATTAAGAATGAGTCATAAGCTTCTTCATTCTAGTACACATTTTTCAATTCTGTTTCTTTTCCATGAGGAACTATCTTTTACATGTACAAGATTACCACAGGTAATAGATTACCTTTAAACAAGGTGGTATTATTGCTAATGATTGGTTACCAATGAGTAGGATGCCAGAAAGAGAAAAACAGCTATGTGATAATCCTCTTAGCATTAAGTTTTGTAACCTTCTGAAGAAACACCAACCTACAGAGACCAATTTCATTTATGAAAACTAGCAAATGCAGCACTTATCACAACCTTGCCATTAAAGTCTTTTTTTCAAAGAAATGGATACATTTTTAAAATATTTCATAATTCTCTTAATTCTGAAAGGCTAATTTTCTAATAGTTCATGTATTTTCTCTGAAAGTAATTGTTACCTTAATAGGTGTGATAAAAAAGTTTTAAAATTGAGGAATTGTGATTCATTCTTAGAAAAATGGCTATTAATGTTTTTGTTTTTATTTTTCTTATGTTTCAAAATTTCTTAGAACAATGTCACCAAAATTAGACTCTTAACTTAGAAAAAAATGGGGGATGGGGAAGGAAAGGATGGGGTGAGCTAGTAAGACTATCAGCAAAAGTTTCTTATAAAATGCAATTTTAAACATATCTAATACTTTGCCTTTTAGGTCATACTAAATGTGTCTTTGTTGCCAATTAAGATTTTCAAATTCATTATTATACTGTCTCTAAGAATCAAATTAAAAGGTATACGTCTAAAATTGTAAATACCCATTAACGAAGTAGTACCGTTTTTGGCAAGACAAAAAATATTTATAGGATTATTATATGGAAAACTATATACATTCACATCATACTTCAAAGTAAAAACCATTATTTAAATTCTTTTTCAAATATTTGCTTCAGAAAGAGAAATCTATAAATTACACAATATTTTTTAAATCAGGTTTGGCATTTCTCCATCTTTTTCATGAGTCACATTACTGTTTTAAGTTTTATTTCGTTTTTTTTTACTACTATCTCCAGTGTTAATGGATCATCCATTCTGCATTACTAGAATGTACTTTGATTTCAGGCACAGTCAAGAAGAGAACAGCAACATGTCTAATTTAATCATTTCTGTGACTTTAAATGATGAGTGTGGATTGCCATATAAAAGATGCAGTAGTAGTAAATGGTATCAATTGTGAAAATGACTAAAGTGATTGTTTGAGGGGTGTCAGTAAAATTCAAAAAGGCTACATGGTGACAAGGCCTTTAGGATATTTATCACAAATAATTTCTTTATGAAATACCAAGTTCATTAATAAAATATTTACTGTACTTGTAAGATCCCTTTAAAAATTGTTGGCAAAAAGCACTGCTCCAGAAAGACATCTGATTTGAAATTCTTTTGCCAAACAATATGCTTATTAAAATTATATAAAGAACTTCTCAAAGCAACTAATTTGTGTAAGCTCACTATAGTACTTTGACTTTGTGACTATAACCCAACATTATCTCATGTACAGAAAATTATTCAAAGAAAAGCAGAAATGCTTTGAGGCTCCCTGTGAAACTTAAGGAAAAAAATCTGATTTAAGAAAAAGAAATGTGTAACACTGTATAATGAAGACTAAACTTTACAAATGGTGTTCAGCATTCTTAATCCTAATTGCATCATCATAATGTCCTTACAGAGAGCAATAGCAAAGTCAAAATCAACTGATATCATTATGCTCAAATCCTAAAGCATGGTGAGCACATCAAAATCTCACTCTTGAAGATTCACCACCACAGGGATTTGAAAATACAAGTTCCCTGCATATGCAGCTATCGTTACAATGCCTAGAAAATTAGCCTTATTCGTGTTTTTATATGGGAAATTTTTTTAATTGCCTTTATAAATTATTATACACTAGGAAAAACTAAAGGTTGGTTTATAACTAATCTTAACACTAGGAAAGCACTTTATATTAGTAACATCTTATTTAAGAAATAAGCCCACTGGTGAGCTGAGTTGGGGGGTGGAGTTAATTCTGTTTTACAAATAAACATTTCTGCTAAGGAGGGAAGAGCAAATTCAGAACAAAGTAAACTCATTTCCATTTATCTTGAGATTTTTTTCTGTGTCAGTTTCAAAATAGGAAGAAAATGTATTTTAAGATAAACAATTTCAAATTACAACATTGGCTGAACCCAGTGAACTAACAGTAACAGCTGCGTCAACAATGACAATCTTTTCATTCATATGATTTTAACTTATAATATAGCCTGTCATTACTTCCTGAAAGTTGATTAAAATTAAACACCCATAAATATTTGATTGATAAGGAGTACGTACAAATTATTTAATTATAAAAATGGGAATAGAGGTAATTTTAGAATGCTTTAAGTCCCTACATGGTTTTCAGGAAGGTGATTTTAATGTAATTATTAAAATTCAATTACTATAAAAAAGTTTACAATTAGACATTTAATGTTTTGCATTAGTACAGACTGACTGACTAAGTGTTTGTCCTGAAACAAAAGCAATTTTTTAAAAATTAAAATGCAATAAAAACAGAAGGCTCAAACATTTTTTAGTGATTCTGACTGCCACATTTATAGCTAGTTCATTTATGGTCTCTGGAAAGATGTCTGATGGAGTCACATAGATAGTAAAATACTAAAAGGAATTCAAGCTTGGAAATCACCTGTAGTGTAATGCCTATTAACAGTATGAATCTGTACAAAAGAATAGGACACTAAGGCCCAAATAAAGTATTGTCTTAAAGAGAAAAATAAAAAACAAAACCATTGTTAGCAACAGTAACTACAAAAGCTGCTGGTTTTAAGATTTTCATTAAATCCAAGTGGCAATTCAAGAAATATCAGTCTGATGTGCATCAAACAGGGCACAGTCTATTGAAATCTGATTATCAAAATCATTAAACAATACTTATGATTTCCACACATGTCAGTGCATGTGCATTACTAGTTGGATTAGAAACATGGTTAATACAAGAGATGGCTGACACATTGTCTCATTTAGTTGTTTATGGTTATTCATCTATGCCAAAGGGTGTGATCAGCAGTGCAGTCATGGAGTGTTTATTCCTCTTCAGAGAAACTGAAATCCATAATGAAGTTGGCAATTCTAAAGTTTAAGTATGTTGCATAAATTAAAAGTTGTTATGCATCTGAAGTCCCTTCACCATTTTCATGAGGTTGAAGCTGTTCTCTTTCTTGTTCTTCCTGAGGTGGCCTGACCCGTTTAAAAAACCCCATCTGTAATTTAAAGGAGAAACAAGACAAAAAAACCCCCATTATTTTTTAAAATGGAGATACAATATGTTTGTTTGTTTCTTTCTTTTAAGAGTGCTCCATTTATTGAATTTTTGCCCTCTTCTTCCACATCTCCTAGATTCAAGGCCCAGATAAAAGCCTACGTTCTAAAAAATGTTTCTCAAAGAAGTATTTCATAATCTTCCTTAATGCTAGTATTTTCCCTTTAATTATATCCAATTTGTACCTGCCATTAGACTATAAGCTTTTTGAAAATAAGGACTTTCAGGGCAGCTAGGTGGCGCAGTGGATAGAGCACCAGCCCTGGATTCAGGAGGACCTGAGTTCAAATCCGGCCTCAGACACATAACACTTACTAGCTGTGTAACCCTGGGCAAGTCACTTAACCCCATCGACTAACTAAAAAAAAAAAATTATAAAAAAAAATGAGGACTTTTTTTTTCTCATCCCCAGTGCTTAGCACCAAGTATCTGGCATATATATATAGCAGGCACTTAAAAATGCTTGTTGACTGATTTACTGGAATTTAAATTATATGACTTTTGCCTCACTAAAATGTCAACCTTATAGACTTTTCCCCTTCTATGCCTGACCCTTCCACAATATCTATTACTTACCCTGTACATTACAAAGACCAGGACAGCCAATAACAATAATCCAGCAAGAACTGCTAAAATGATCACCCACAAAGGCACTGGCATGGGTGATGGCTGAATACCCCAGGTAATATTAGTGGTAACCTATTGGGGAAAAAATTCAACAAATATTAGAAAATAATGGCACAAGATTTGTTTCAGGCTTTTCAATAACTGAAGTGTGTTGTGGTAGAAAGACCTCTGGGCAAAGAATCACAGGAGAAGGGTTTGAGACCTAAATATGTACTTTGTTGATCTTTAACCAAATCAATGTTATTTAATCTTTCTGAATTTATTTTCCCATTTATAAAATAGATATGATAATATTTGTATTACCTACTTCACAGATTTGAGGCGGGGAAGATGCTTTGTAAAGTATAAATGCAAATTGTTAACATTAGAAATATAAGTAATGTGATTTCCTCCTTCTGCAACAGAGACTAGTAGGTTTGGAAAGAAATAGACTAGGCTTAGTGATATAATAGATTGTGGTAGCAAATAGTTTCACTACAGAGCCGTATGTATCTACACAATCCCAAACATTAAATTTTAATTATCTTGAAAAGAGATCCCAGGCACTTATAAAAGTTGGTCTTATGTTGTTGTATTGTTCTTTATCATTTTAGTTGGAAACTTAAAACATCAAAGTATTTGCCTGCTACTATTTCAGCAGGTGACTTCTAGTCCACAAAATAATTTTATTCACAAAATTATAAGCTACAGTAAGACTCTGAAGTAGGAAAAGATAATCAAGTAAAGAGTCCAGCTTTATTACTTGGAGGTAGGAAAGAACATAAATCATTTTCAGCAACCTTTCAAAACACATATACATATTATGTGAAATGGTCAAGACAATTTCTTATTTTAAACAGCTCTTCTACCACTTAGATTACGTACATTGACTTCACATCCCCATACAAGTTACTCACTAATGTAGAGTTGTGGATGTCATCGATAGGGAGGTTCTTGTAGGGAAATTCTATGACACTGAATGAAGCTGATGACTTCAGTGAGTATGAATGATTCTGATTTTCCTTCTGTGGGAAAAATAATATTGAGATTGTCAGTTGTCTTAGATGTCAAACAACTTTTGTTTGAAAAAATTTTGTAGGGTCAACATGTAGACATTCTCTTTACTCACATTCATGAAAGTCTCAGTCCACAGCAGAGACTTTACATATAGGATCACACTCTTTCCCCTGTCAAGGCGACCAACCTGACAGACAATCTTCAAGCATTCAGCAGTCCCACATCCCTGAAAAAAACAGAGTTGTTGAACTTTTAAGGAAATGTCACTTGAGCATCATACAAAAAACAAACCTTTAAAATTCTGAAAATCAAGGATTAAAATTCACATGCCATTCTTTCTACATGTAGGACAAATCCTATTATAATGAACTAGGAAAAATAATTCTTGTGCATATATATGTGTGTGTGTGTGTGTGTGTGTGTGTGTGTGTGTGTGTGTGTGTGTGCACATGCGAGCATTTGTGCACATGTGAGAGATAGTGGAATATCGCTTAAAACAGGTAAGCTACTGACCAGAAGACTAAAAACTGCTATAGAGATTTCTCTAATGATAAAATTTATTGTAAAAAAAAAAAGAAATACTCCCTGAAATATCAAAATGTATGTTATGCCCACTTAAATATACTATACATAGGCTGCATCTTGAAATACTTCAGAAAGGCATGCAACAACCTTTTATGAAATATTTGAGGACAAGATAGAAAAATAGGTGGTAGCCAGTAGTACACTTAGATGGATTCAACCCCCCCCCCCAACATAACACTTCATCATCCTTTTTATGTGTTGCCTTTCTCCATTAGGATGAAAGCTTCTTGAGGTCAGGTACTATATCTTTGTTTTTGTTTCTATCCCTAGTGCTTAGGATAGTGTCTAGCATGTATTAACTGCTTAATACTTATTGACTGGTGGACTTGATCGCATTGAACAACTCTTCCTACAAAGCATTTTTCAATGATTTAATGAGAGATGTCAACCTTGAGGGAGGTGTTTACCAGAATATCATAGGTTTCTGTACATGACCCAATCTCATTCACATTTTTCTCAGTGGCTTATATAAAAACCTGTCATCTTTATTCATATATGGTTGGACATGTAACTACGGAAAAATAAAATGCTAAATAAATACAAGAAAATTAAATTTTAAAAAAGACAAAAAAGGCAGCAACCAGAAATAGCTTGGTAAAATAAGTGATTTAAATACTATTGGTTTTGCTGAGCAGTTCTCAGAAAACTATTTTGCAATCAGACCATCCTGGTGTTTGTTTACAAACTTCAATTGTGTGAAAACAAAATATATGTACACAAATCCAAAAGAACATAAATTTTGAAAAATGTAAAAAAAATAAATATATGGTTGGAGTAAAGAAAGCATGGAGGAAGAGTGGCTATACTGAGTGACAAAATTTTAGTTGTTTACAAATATTAAACACAAACATTTTGAAATTTAAATGTTAAAATCTTGTTATGGTCCAGTTTTATTCTAAGTGGTATAGTGGGTAGACTGCTGGAGCCAGAAAGAAGTAGTCAAATCCTGACTCAGACACTCACTAGCTCTGTGTCCCGTGGCAAGTGATTTAAACAACTAAAATTTAAATTGGAAAGGGAGATGAATAAAGTAGCAGGGGGTTCTGATGATTACACTTTTGCAGGCCTCTCTCTTCCCCTTCTGTCTTCTGTTTACTTCCCCTAAATAGAAATCTCATCAGCAGGTTACTATCTTCTCCCTCTCCCCACTAATTAGTGCAAAATTGACTTTACGGATTACCACCTCCCTCAGCCTCCTCTTCCCTCTGATTGGAGGGCTAAAGGGTAGAATTCCAAACTTCTCCTGATGCCTTTGTTATAGAGGCAGAAACTAGACTCACTCTCTTCTGCATCTGCTACCCTGCCTGGTTTCAACTGCATGAAACAAGATGCACCAGGTACCCCTTGATCTACTCCCCTCTGCTTTCCTGACTCCTTTTATGTGTTATCTCCCCACACCGCCTTAGACTGTAAGCTCCTTGAGGGCAAGGACTGTCTTTTTATTAACTGTATCCCCAGAGCTTAGCACAGTGTCTAGCACATATTAAGCACTTAATAAACTTTATTGCACTGAAATCTTTATTGGATTGGAAATTACAACATGACTTGACAGGGAGAAGTCTCTTTGTCAATTAAATTCACTTCACTTCAATAAACATGTAATGAACACATGTTGTATACTTAATATTACAAGGATAGGGACTATACCTGTGATTTTTTTTTTTGTATATGGAATTCCAAGAAGAGGAAATGCCTTCTACCCAGGGAGGCCAGTACCTTTTCTGCAACTAACAGACTCAGTGAGCTGCCTAGAGAACTAAGAGGTTAAGTGGCAAGCACAGAGTCACACAGAAAGCATATGTCAAAGGCAGGACTTGAAACCAAGTTCTTCTGGCTTTGAGCCCCACATCCCACCCTCCACTACTCCCCTAGTGACTTTCAGTTTGACACTAGAATAGGCACAAAAGTAAAAGGCAGAGTTTCTAACATTAAGTAGCTTATGATTAAGTTAGAAAGGCAATAAAGATTGTTAAATGGAGGCTATCAAAAAATGTAAAGAGAATGCCAGAAGCAAGAAAACAGGCTTCTACTCTTGTAAGGAGCTTATATAAGGATTATTCAGGGGCCAAAGTCACAATTACATACAAGGATGAGCCATTGGACACTAATATAAAAGCTGGTACACAATCCAGATACCATAAACAATCAAGTGGAAAGGCAACAGATACCATTATGTGTCTATATTTCTTTTAATAAAAATGTAGTTAATATTTGAATACCAGGTAGATTATTGAGACAGGAAAAATATGAGAATGGTCATAGTGACATTAATAGGGCATTCAAGAGTTATAGTGGGTATGATTCAGAGATGTGTCACAGCATCATATTTATAGTTAGGCTTTATTTAATGAGGGAAAAATGTTGAATTGGGTGAGATCTGAGCAAAATTGCATAGTAGGCCACATTTGTTCTCCACCTCCTTTGCTGTGCTCTCTGCTATTTTATTTACTCCCACCACCTAATATCCTCTTGCTACTGTCTGACTTTTTTTTAATAAGTATCCCACTGAAATATGCTACTCAGGTCTTAAAGAAAAAACTGTAGCCAAGAAGGTGGCAAAGAAGGCTGTAAGAAAAGGAATAGAAATATGGAATATGTATTACAGTATTCTGGAAATGTTACTTCAGAATAAGTTCAAAGTTAACTTATTTGATTGGCTCTCAGGAAAGTAAAAGGACCTGATAATGTTTGTGAGCACCTTGAGGGCAGGGGCTGTCTTTGCTTAGCTTTATATCCACAACACTAAACAAGATGCCTTGCACACAGCAGACACTTCATAAATGTTCACTGATTGGCTGAATATTATATTTATACATTTGATCACAACTGCTATTATTTAAATATCTATCTTCTTTTAGATTATTGTTATAATTTTGTATTTTTGAAAGTAAAAGGGAATCAGCAAAGTTCCAAAAGTACATACCAAAGTGTGTACATCCCCTTCATTGGGAGGTAAATCCCGCCTAGTGATGTGATGACTCCAGTCACCTTGTCCTAAGTTTGTTTCATTTTTTTCATCTATCTGAGGAGTTGAAATCTAGGATTACATTAATAATTGTGATGAGAAATTGTAGTAATTGATTATATTTTATATTGCATTTAAATTTTAACACAGTAAATAGTTACTACATGAGCAACACTAGGCAAGAAACAAGATTATTGCTCTAGATAAGCTCTAAGGTCCCTTTCAGGTGTAAATAAAACTATGATCCTATAATCCTATAAAGGATCGCAGAAAGGATTAAAAATTGGTGAACAAAAAGTAGCATCTTGTAATATGTGATAAGAGAATTCACTACTAGATACATGGCAAAATTCAGGAAAGAAAATAAAGAATATGGGATGCACTATGCCTATAAGGACATAGTGCAAGGACTCTGCCACTAGTGGCAGCACATGTCTGAAATCCCTGCCACCAAAAAGATGAGAATAGTGTATCATTTGAGCTAGAAAATTCAGAGCTGCAGCAGGGCTCAAGCTTATCATACTAAGTCTGGCATCAATATGGTGAACCTCAGTTAGCAAGGGGGCCACCAAACTTCCTAGAGAAGGCCAAACTGGCCCAGATCAGAAATGGAGCAGGTCAAAGATCCCAGGCTGCTGATCAGCATTGGGATCAGGCCCATGAATGCTGCTGTGTTTTAAGCCTAGGTGAGACTGGGAGACCTAAGCTCTAATAATGATGATGAAGGTGATGATGATGATGATGACTAATATGTGCACAGAGGAGAAATGGATCATTCATTGAATCTTTCTTTCCACTATCATTAGAAAAAATATATATAAGTTTCTGGAATACCCTATAAATTCCAGAACTTTCACAGTACAACTTATGTTACATTTGGACTCCCCTAAGAGCCCTTTTCTTCTTTCTCTCCCTCTGCTTTTTTGGCTACCTTATAGTAACTTGCCTTTAGTTTTATTCAAAACAAAATTCTTCTAATTCACTAAAAGTCAATATTGCCAGGAGCTCATTTCTATATTTCATCCAAAAGACACAACATGCCTGACATCACACTGAGGCCTTGGATCAGTCCTAGTGTATGTGGTGGGAAACAAGCCACAGACTGAGTCACTGACAAATACTTCCCGAGGTACCCTAGACAATCTGTAAAAGTATGGCTCCCTAGGGCTTCCTTAAGTCCAACTTTATTCAATTATGAGAACAAACAACCCAACCGAGAATGCATCAAAGGCAAACAAAACTATTTTTGCTGAATTAGTTGATACATTATTTTTACATGCATTGTTTCAATGTAGTTATAAAGAGATATAGAAAAAATCCACTCTGATCAAGAAATGTGTTTTAACAATATTACCTTAATTTTCAATGGGTTAATCTCCATATCTGAAGTACAGTTCATTGGTCCATCAACTTCATAATGAAGGATATATAGCAAAGTATTGTTGTTATACTTGTAAGGCCACTGAAGGTTTAGCATCGCCTTGCTGAATGAACTTGGACCATTGTTTCTCAGCTAATGAAGGAAGAACAGTTAAAAGCCACTACTAAAGATTTCCCCTCCCATCTACCTTGGGATTAGTATTTAATGAATAATTTAACACTATTAATAAAAATAAAGGTAGAATTTTCTTGATGGCTTTAAAATTAGAGTACTAATGTAATCATACAAACAGGAGACTAATGACATCATTTAAAAATTCAACATTTTATTTGTGGAAACTTTGAAGAAGTCTTTTGTTTTTCTTGTTTTGGGGAGGGAGAGTTTGGACCTGGGATTTCATTGATATAACGATCACCTGTGCAGGTAATGTCCCTTATTAATACAGATCAGCAACTGTTCTGCATGGATCTTAGAGCATCTGGAACACTTGCCTGGGGCCAAGGAGCTTGTATGCGTTAGAAGAGAGACTGAGACCCAGGTCTTCCTGATTCCAAGCCTAGCTCTACATTACATCATGATGTGTATCTGACTGGAGTAAAACAAACTGTCTTAAAAGAATATTTTTAGAAACCATTTAAAAAATCATATATAACTATTTCAACTAATAGAAAATGAAATGATTAGGAAGAAGAAAAATCTAATGATTCTGTGATGATTAAGTTTTAAAGTGAAGATGACAAATACATGAAATTGAAAAATAATGAAAAATTTGTTTTTTTATTTCCCTACTGGCTAATAATCATATTAATAACTAATACTGATGACATTTTAAGGTGCACATATAACTACAAACCTCATAAATGTGTTGTACAACAGGCCCAACATCCTCTTCAGTCTGTGGATTCTCCTTATGCTCCCAGTTTGGAATAGGAAGGAAGACATGATCAGGGCTTGAGACTCTAAACAATGACCAAAGAAAACTCAAACTTGCTATGATGAAAATCACATCATCAGTTTCTTTTTAAAACTATCCCAATATAGGGGCAGCGAGGTGGCACAGTGGATAGAGCATTAGCCCTGGAGTCAGGAGGACTTGAGTTCAAATACAACCTTGGGCCAGAAATTTGACACTTACTAGCTGGGTAACCCTGGGCAAGTCACTTAAACCCAATTGCCTCACCAAAATTATCCTAACATTTTCAAAGAATAAAAAGGCCTTTTTTCCATCCATTCCTTCCCCACCACTACTGCGTGTACTTTTGCTCTAAGCTTACCTTCAGTGTACACTATATGTCTTTTATATACACAGTTATTTGTACATTATCAGCCTCATTAGATTTTGAGCTCCCTGAGGGCAAAGTCTGGTTTATGGTTTGTTTGTTTTTTTGTATCTTCAGCAATTAGCAATGTGTTTCACATGCAGTGTTTAATAAGTGTTTGTTGGGAAACAGACTGAATAAAATGAAAGAATCACGCAAAAAATGTATGAACAGAAAAATGTGAAACTAATTGCCCTCTATTAATCTTTTAAGTTAAAATATGAATTAAATATGAAATTATGTATTTATATGAATACAAAATATGAAATAAATAATTGTAACAGAATAAAGACATTTACGTCATACCTGCTACTATCATGCTAGTGCCTGCCACTTTTCAAAACAGTGACTAAATAGATAATTTCAGCATTGAAGCACATTCTAAAATTAACATATGCCATCTTAGACCCAATTCTTTCTAAAAGGTGAGGACTTCAGTAAATGGGTGATTAGAATATCATACCATAGAACAGGGTTAACATCTAATGTGAAAGCAAATATAGGGATTAGATTTTTTTAGTTACCGACCCTCTTATCTCAACAGCAGCAGAAATGGCAAGGTCAACTTGGTAAGATACCATTGGACTCACTTTGTCATACAGATTAGAGCTAAAAAGAAAAAAGGAAAAGGAAAAAGCAGTTAAGCACTGAAATGAGCACACTTATATCATAAATTCTCAGTGACATGAGGTATTCTGAGATCACTCATTAAAAATGAACACATTTCAAAAAGGGCCAAGAGAAATGTAAAGGGCACTTATGATTTCTAAAAATATATGAATAACTATAAAAAGCAATGAATTCCAATATTTTTCAAAGATTAAAAATGAATTGTCTTTCTAGAATTTTCCTTAAAGTCTATACATATAAGTAAATACATATCTATTAATTAAATTAGCATCTATTAATTTAATTAAATTCAAAAATTTTATTGAGCACCCACCATGGATGAGATGATGTGCTAGATGCATGTTAATGTGTATGTTTATTGAAATAAATATCAAATTTAGTACCACAGAAAATTTATTCCCATCAGTTACATATCATTTTCAAGATTGTTAAAAACAAAATAATATAATGCCTACATTCTCATTTTGTACAAAACTAAACATGCCAGATTTAGTGATTTTTTAATCATATGTCTTCTGTGAAATTGTTAGGTAAATAGGAAGAAGCTATTATTATTATTTTCATACCTCTGGATCTGTAAATCAAACTTCACAGAAGTATCTATCTCTGACTGTTGGTGCACACTGAAACGAAGACCAGCTAAAAGCTAGGGAGGGAAAAAGGACAGGATATTAAGATGAGCTAGCATCTAATTAGTAAGAATTCCTACCTGATATATATTTTTTAATTTAAGCTATCAACCAACTCAAATTTTTTTAAAAATCTGACAATGTGTTTGTTGAAAAAAAGTTCCCCATTTACTATCCTCCCCCATTAAAAACCTCCCTAATAGCAAAGAAAAACAAACCAAACTGACAAACACAGCAGTTTTCTTGCAGTGTGTGCCAAATTCAACCCCACTACTGAATATCTGAATATGAAAATAAGGTTGCTTTTGAACCTACAATAATGTTAAGGATATTCTCTTTTTTAAATTGATATATGTTATTTTCCCCACCACTGTACTTCTGCTTGGAAGAAACACGGACGGATTTGTAACATTTGATGCTCTATCTTCATTGGTCTAGGTTTCACTAATGTGGGCACTCCCCCCATCACTTCAGATCATAACCCATCCATACCTGTTCATTCTATTCAAGCTTTGCCCAATTTCTCCCACAGCTTCTCCATGCTATTCCATAAAGGCTTTCTTCAGCATCTTTTTAACACTATAAGTGCCAGTGTAATCAATCATAAACATTTATTAAGTGCCTATTATGTAAGAAGCACTGTGCTAAGCTTTACAGCTCTTGAGCCACCCATCTACTGTTATTACTCACTTGTTACGTGAACATCTCACTTTCTGTTTTGCTTTTTTATTTCTTGAATGATAGTCTTTACTAAGAATGATATTATTCTTGAATATAAGTAAATAGGTCATTATTGGCAATTGGCTGCAACCTATTCATACACAAATTTCTCCACTAAAGTTTGGGTCACTTGTAACTTTGATTCTTAGAGAGAGAGGTGTTCCAAGATTCACAATGATAAATGCATCCACAGAGTAGGTCAGCAGATAAATAATTGAGCTATTTATTGATAAATGAAAGTATCTATATGTGCTTATTATGAATCGGGTGTACTAAGTACTGGGTCTTCAAAGAGCTCACATGCTAATGAGCTAGAAAACATGCAATCAACTATTTATATACAAAATACGTAGAGTGATTATGGAAGGCAATATGGAGGCACCGGCTAGGTAGGAGGAAGAGGGAGAAACCTGGAAAGGTCTCATGAAAGAGGTAGGATTTGGGCTGAGTCTTGAAGGAGGCCAGGAAGGTCAGGAGGCAGAAAGGCATGGAGGGAAAGATGGAGTGTTATGTGCATGGATTAGCAAGCAGTCTAGTATTGTTAGATTGTAGAGTTCATGGGAGAAAGAAGATTAAAAAGGTAGGAAGGTACAGGGATGAGAAGGATTTTAAAGCCAAAAAGGATTTTACATTTGATCCTGGAAGTAATAAGAAGCCACTAGAGTTTATTGAACAGGGAGATAACATGGTTAGACTTGAGCTTTAGTAAAAACACTTTGGCAACAAAATGGAAGATGAATTGGAATGGGATGAAAACTTGAAGTAGGGATTGCTTGCAGAATTGACTGCAACAGACCAGGTGTGAGGGCATGAGGGCCTATACCAAAGCAATAATTAATGTGAGTAAAGAGAAAGGAACATACAGGAGAGTGGCTGTGAAGGTAAAAACAAACAACAACAACAACAACAACAACAACAACAAACACACACACACAAACCCTAAGATTCAGGATCAGATTATATGTGTAGAGTGTAAGCAAAGATGACAACCAAGTTTGTAAGACAACTGTTTAATGACCATGTGATTATTGATGCTAAATGAAGAAATGAAGCTACCTATCACTGCCAGGGTTACTCTGTCATGCAGGGTGTCATGTGAATAGTACAAAGGAAAAAGTATTTCCTAAAAGATAGTCTTCCAGATGCTTGTTTCCAGATCAAGTTCTTGAATATTACAGGGACTTGTAGATGCAGTCCATGTTTACTCAAAAAATATTGGCGTAAGAATCCATGAAGGACAATTAACTGTGAAAAATACCTCCAATCCAAACTAAGGCATGTGGCTAAAACATCAATCTACTGAGTTAGTACCTCACTCCAGGCACTACAAATGGACTGTAGATTAGACTCAGAATTGAATAGGAAGGAGAAAGAGCTGGAATCCAATTAAAAAACTGTGCTTTTAATAATCCAAGCTGTTCTCTGGCATAAAAAAACCTATCCTTGTAACAAAAATGTTCTCCTGATCATGCCGTGTGCCATATCATAACAGGCCTATTCCTCAAATTACCAAAACCTGAGATTCACTAGATCAAACAACAGAGGAACAGCAAAATATATAAACACTTTTTTCTCTTGGTCATGCTACAATGGGATTCAAAGCAATTACTTTTTAAAGGATTTAAATAAAAGATTAAAGTATACCTTTTATTCTTCATGCTCCAGGGTCACGAACTAAACCAGACTCTCATTGGTGTTTTGTCCTGAAACTAGTAAAGCGTCTCTTTTGGGGCATTCACAACATGGGATAAAGAAAAGTGCACCCAGTTTGGAGAAAGGAGACCTGGATTCTAGTTCTGGCTTGTCTCTTAACTTGCTTCCTGTCCTTGTACAAGTCATTTCTCTTTTCTGGGCTTCAGTTTCTTTATATTTATCATAAAGGAATCGAACTAAATGATCTCCAAGGTCCCTTTCCACTCTGATATTCTATGCATCTACATACCAAAATAAAATGACACACACATTCAAGGGGTACAAAAAAGAAACACAACCCCACAACCAAGATCTACTAACATTTGTTAGAATAAGTTTTGGGAGGCACACACCTTAACTTAAAAGTTTCACCCTCTCCTCATTACTGCGGAGTAAAGCAAGCAAAGAAAGAGGAATGCATAAGTAATTACCTTAGCCACACATGGTGCTAAGCACTGGGATACAAATATAATAAAAAAAAAATTCCTGCCCTAACGGAGCTTACATTCCAATATGAGAAGACAACACACAAAAGAGACCTGAATAGGGTGTGGGGAAGGGCGAGGATGTGAAGACACTGGATTGAAGCTTCAAATCAAGGTTTTGAAGTTGGAAGCAGGAAATCAGGAGCTGAGTCAGGAAAGGGGCAGAAAGAAGGAAGGTTCCAAGGGGAACTTAGCAGTGGGAGAAGAGGGGCAGGCAAAGGTAGCAGAATTCTCAAGTGTAAATGGTGACATGTCTAATTCTGGTCTTAAATAAGCAGAACTCAGCCAATAAAAAATGATTGAAATATTAACTCAGCTAAATAAACAATCATGCATTTGCAGATGTGAATGCTTGAAGAATCTTTGATTCAATTGGCATAAGAATTCCTTCTACCTATGCATATTACAACCCACTGGAGATCCCTGAGACATGTAAGGGTTAAATGATTTTTTCCAGGCTCATATTGCTAGCAAATATCAGGTTTAGGACTTGAAGCTGGCACCTCCGAGACTTATTAGCTAGGCAATAGCCCTCTTCATTTTCATTTTCCATTTCCATTTCCATCAGCTGCTCTACTTGGTTTCTACTCCAAGAGCATCATTGCCTTCCCCCAGGATAAGCCCATGACCTGAAATCTAATCATCATGGAGATTGATGCCCTTCTGATTCTCAATACCTACTCCAGCACCCTCAGCTGCCTCTCCAATCTGACTGGAGGACTGAGGAGAACTCCTCCCAAAGCCTTCCTTTATAGAGAGCCCAGAATTTTCCAGCTACATTCTTTATTTTTTTTAATATTTATTTTAGGCAATTGGGGTTAAGTGACTTGCCTAGGGTCACACAGCAAGTAAGTGTCAAGTGTTTGGTCTGAGGCCGGATTCAAACTCAGGTCCTCCTGACTTCAGGGCTGGTGCTCTATCCACTGCGCCACCTCACTGCCCCTATAATTCTTTATTTTCTATCATATTCTTTGTCTGGTTTCAAACCTACCACCCCTCCCCAAACCTCCCAAGTGCTTAGGACAGTGCCTGGCACAAAGTAGGCACTTAACAAATCTTTACTGACTACTAATGATAGACTCCAGGACCCTATCCGCCATGCCAAGTTATTTTTCCAGGCCTCTGAGGCATTCAGAAAATATTTCACTTGCCAGCAACTGTGGTATTGACCAAAACGCCCTGTTCCCTCTTCAGGAAAAAAAAAATAATAAACTGAATTTAATGAAATTTAACTTAGTTATCTTACTTTAGTTCCAGCCTTCATGGGATTTCCAAGGTCACATACCACCTGGCGTGTTTGATTCTCTGTCTTAAATGCACAGGACAGCCTTGATAAAGTCTAGAATAGGACAAAGTCAAAATATTCAACATAAGTATAGACCACAGGGTTGTAAAGTTCTTCGAAGAAACTTTGCATTTAAATATTCAAGTTTGTAACTAATTATCAAGTTAATATCTAATGAAAAAAAACTAACATATATTCCTACTACACATGAATAGAATATTATAACTCTAAGGTCTTCAGGAAATTCAGAAGCATTTATTTAACTATTGACATACAGTTTGACAGAAAAGCTTGCATGGTTCAGATACTGAGTTAAGAGGTCAAGTGCTTCTGCAAGATGTCAAAAAATTGTAAATCATTTCAGTATTGCATTGTGCTGGGCTTGAAGATCATTATAATAGATAACACTCTTGACTGTCTAGAAATATGTCCATGGGTAAAATAGGTATGGTTGCTCTGTAACTGCATTATGAGCATAACTCATAAATATTAATCAGGCTTATCAGTACATTTCAATTATCAGAAAAGAGGTCTTGAGTTAGAAGCATACTTCACTGTTACGGACACCACCAATGAAATCTGCCTGGGGTGGAATGGACACAATGAGCTCAGCCTCATACGCTCCTTCCCCTAGATTCTGGGCATTAACAATCAGCGTCAGAGGGTTGTCATCGCCGATATATATCTTCTTTTGATCACTAGAAATGAATACAAATCCAGACAGTAAATGAGAAGAGCATGGCCAAACCAAGAGACAGGTGCATGGAGTAATAATTTCAAAAATTATTTGAGAAGGCTTAAGAATATTTTGCTGTTCAGTAGAACATTGACATCATATACCGAGTATAAAAATATCAAATAAAATACTGGTAAATTGCCCTTTCTGAGACTTTTATTAATAACTCCTCTGTTTTCTTTTGTTCAAAAGCTAACTCCTAACTTAATCTTCTATTTAAAAATGCATCATGTGATACATGCATTATCCCTCTTGTTTTTAGTAGATCACAGAATATTTTAATTATATCACCAAAGTGAGGGGAAGGGGGATTATGTTTATTTTTTATCTAGGACTGGACAATCAAACACATATATAGTTAAGTGATCACATACTTTATCAGTGAACTTGTAGACTGCTACAAATATATAAAATACTTTCTTTAACTCAAGTGGTAAGAGATTTCTGATTTTTTTTTGGAAGCTTAAACTATTTCTCTTTGTGAATCTCAAATAATGATAATAATTACTTCACATAGGCATATTAGTTATTTATTATCTCTGGTTTATTAAGTTATGGAACTCTCAAATCACAAAGAAGAAAAATAATCTTATCAAAATTACTTCTTAAGAAATACTTTCACAGTATTTATTGATCATATATTTATATAGCTGTAAAACTTACCTATGTACAGAAACTTCCAGTTTGGGTTTGCAGACATTGTCTTCACCACAGTCCAGTAGAATGTGAGCCTAAAAAATAATAATATTCAATCTATCTATACAAACAAATGTCACTATTTGTACCCTTCTCTGGTATGTCATGATGGTACAGAAGCAAGTCTGGGTAATCTAGGCTACCTAGAAAATAAAGTGCTACAAGTAGAAAGGGACAGAAATATTTGACGAGGAAATAAATAATAAATTATTCCAAAATTATCCAAAATATCTCTTTGAAAGCTTTTAAATAACCATAAAAATTATAGAAGAAAAAACCCTTCCAAGTGGCAGCACCTACATATGATAAACATGCCTATGCCATTGAATAAAAAGATTTTGGGAAGCTCTTATCAAAACCAAATAGTTATCAAGAAGTTTCCTTCTCTTGATCCCTTCTATGTCAAGTGTTTTCCTTATTTCATTCACAATTCACTATCCTTTTTCTTTTTTGGTTAAATTTTCTTTTTTTATTGTAAACTTAATCATCAACAAACACAAACATTTCAATATACAAATACAAAGTGGAAAAAAGCTTGTAAGAGAAACTGAATTGTTCTTACATATAGTTTGTTTCTCAAGGAACACACACACACACACACACACAAAATTTGCCCTAGTCTGTTTTGATCCAGGGCCTAAAAGAAAAAAACATCAACAATTAATGTGTATTTTTAAGAAAAGGTTGAACAAATATAGTACCTGTCGACTAATATTGGCAGGAGTAAACTGGTTAAGAATGGGTTGCAATCCAGTTACATCAGCTGCAGTCTTGTAATCTAAACGGTACTCCATAAAAATGGTAATCGGAGTGAGCTTATCTCTAAATTCAGATTCATCCTGGAAATAAAAATGATTCCAGTTAGTAGTGAAATGTCCCCAACGTCTAGGGAGAAATCCCGCAGATGCACACTTCACTTACTTCTCATTTGTCTCTAACTATGCCATCATCCATTGTATCTATATTCCCACCACAAAAGCCAGAGAAATTTTGTACATTCAACAAAAATTTATTAAGCCCCTACTACGTGCCAGACACTGTGCTAAGTGCCAGAGATATAAAGGCAAAGGAAAATAACACAAATGATCATTGCTCTCTAGAAGCTCACAGTCTAACAAGATAACAGGCCAACAACTATGTCCAAACAAGATATGTAAGAATAGACTGGAGATAATCCCAGAAGAAAGGCACTCATTAAGGAGATTCAGCTGGAAAAGTTCCTTGCAGAAGGTATGATTCTAGCTGGGATCTGAAGGAAATCAAGAAAGCCAGGAGACAGAGATGAAATGGGCAAGCATTCTAGGAATGAGTTGTTCCAGCCAGTGAAAACACAGAGTCAGAAGATGGGGGTTGGGAGAGTCTTGTTGTAAGGAACACTGACAGCTTCAGTGCCTCTGGTTCATAGAGTGTGTGGAAGGAAACAAGAAAATTGGAAAGGAAGGGGTCAGGTTATAAAGGACTGTATAAGCCAAACAAGATTTTACATTTTATTTTGGAGATAATCTGGAGGCATGGGAGTTTATTGAATAAGGGAGTAACATAGTCTGGCCTGTACTTTAGTAAGATAGATTTGACAGCTGAGTGGAGGATGGATGAGAGTAGGAAGAGTTGAGGCTTGGAGACTACTTCAATTGTCCAGGCAAGATAATGAGGGCTCACGCAAGGATGGTAGTAGTATCAGGAATAAAAACGCTAGACTTGAAGACAGGAAGTCCTGAGGTCTAATTCAGCCTCGGACAAGAACTGTGTGACCGTGAGTAAGTCACTAATGGGTAAGTCACTAACCTCTGCCTCAGTTTCTTTAACTGTAAAAATAGATATAATAATAGCTCCTACCTCATAGAGTGGTTGTAAGACTCAAATGTGATAATATCTGTAAAGCATTTAGCACAATGCCTAGCAAATAGTAGTAGCTTAACAAATACATATTCCTTCTCCCTTGGTCACTGTTTTTGTTAGAGATCATCAAACAAAGGCTGAATGATCACTTGTTGGGGATGCTGTTAGAAGGCATTATTGGTTAAGTGTGAGTTGGGTAAGGTAGTTCTCCAAATTCTTTATAGTTTTTAGATTTCTGTCATCCTGGGAAGAGTGAGATGCCCAGAAAGAACAATTTGCTTTAATAATTAATAATAAAAATAGCTAACACTTATATAGCACCTATTACATAACCTGGAGAAAAGTATTCAACAAATAGTCCTGCTTTCAGTTTTTCTTTTTAAAAAATTTTATTGTAATACAAAAAAAATCTCAAAATGCATTACAATTAAACTAAATAATTGAAGGGGTCAGAAAGTAAAACAAGGAGATAATGTATGCAAAACACTTTGTAACCTAAAGCATCTATAAGTTATTGTTACATACTAAGAACAATGATGCCGTTTTTTTTTTACCCGTAGATATGCTGTAAGCTCCTCACATTGCATCTGACCACCCTTTGAAATACTCATGTTCTTTGAGTGTCCAGGTGATTTGTTATGGAGAAAGAGGGCTCTCCTAATGGCTCCTTTTTGCTTCAGTTTATCTAAAAGAAGTTCAACCTGGAAATCTATGAAAATCAACAAATAAAAGTATTTTTAAAAGAAGTCATCTTATATATAGAAAATTTCTCACTTTAATAATGTATCACATACCTTCCTCTAGATTTCCCAGTAAACAGAACCTTTTTTTCCTTTCAAAGTAAAAATTGCCTTCAAATCCCATGAAAATAATAATATTCTAGTTATGCAACCAATATTCCAAGCTTTAGTGTAAATAAATCTTTAACACTTCATGGATTAATATAGGGATTTTTTAAGACCTCTTGTTTCATCAGTGAAGATAGCTACCAATTCCTCTCCTAAGGCAGATAGGTCCCTTCTCTGCAATTTGTAATCTTTGACAGTTGACTGGGGCCCTAAGAGATTAAGTGGTTTGCTCAAGGTCATAGAGACCATATATGTCAGAGGTGGGACCTAAAACCAGGTCTTCCTGACTCTCTTCTCACTATTCCATGCTGCTCATTTAAAACAATATACCATTCCCCATCCCCAAACCTCTCAAAGTGTTGTAGCAAATTACTTTCTTATATAAGATGGAAAAATATTGGTGACACAATTTGACTGTTCCACATCAAGAAGAACACGACAAACAATGTAAAAGATGCCAAGTCTGTTGACCCAGGCACGCAGAAGAAAGTTCTTGATAGAAGTAACAGAATAAGTTTCAGAACTAAGTCTTCTATCATTAACATTGACAGAACTCCAATTATTATTAACTTTAATAAATATTTGTCTAATGTTACATATACCAAGAAGCTCAAAGCTAGTGGGTTGATTACTAGGTGATAAATTATTCAGCCACAGTATCCTCTTACATTCTTGCAATTTAAGTGAATGAAAATAAATTTTGTTTTGAGAATTTTGGGAGAAGTTACCACTAAAAAAAAAAATCACAAAAAATTATCACTAAGCAGTATGACATACATGTAATATCCCTTTTTCTTCCACATGGACAAAACATTTCCATTTTTCAAAAAGGTAGGTGAAGTGTGTTAAGGTTTGTGGCAAAGCTTGTGAGCCTTGTGAGCCCCCAAGGCACTCTACTCTGGTCAGGGTTTCCAGGGGCCCTTAATACAAAAACAGGTGTTAAAGCAAGAGGGTTTTACAGGAGATGTAATGCACAAAAAAGCCTGTGTGGACCGGTTTCTCTAAATTTTACAAAGAGTTAATTTAGTACTTGTCAATTATAAAATACCCTATGACCAAAATAGTAAAAATAAGTTTTCCCTTGAAGCACAACTTACTCAGCTTCTCCGGAAGCCTCCCTTTGCCATCAGCCTTTAAGCAGAATCTCACGTTAAAGCTGTGGGGAAATGAAAACCATAAATCCTTTCATCCAGTGAAAAGCTTTGATATATTATTTTAAGTGTCTACATCTCATAATTCCAATCCCTAATTTAATTACAAAATTTTCAACAGACATCTTTATACATATCCTGAAATTAATTTTAACAAGTAAAATATAGAATTATAAGTGCTTTCTAACCCAAATTCTTCCTATAGTCAGTTAAGTCCCTTTTTCCTCCCTCATTTTATCCTAAGAAGAAACAGAACAGCTCATTAAAATCCCCTTAATAAAAGCATAGGGAACTCACAAAATGAGTAAATTTCCTAAGGGAAGTTATTGATAACAAAAGCTAGCATTTATATAATGCTTTAAGGTTTGCAAAGCACTTTACAATTATTATCCCCTTATATCCTCACAACAATCCTGGGAGGTAGGTGCTATTATTATCCCTTTTTCACATGTGAGTAACCTAAGGCAGACAGAGGTTAAATGACTTGATCCAGGTTACACAGCTAGTTAATTTATGAGGCTAAACTCATGTCTCCCTAACTCTCAGATCCAGCACTCCACTGACCACCTAGCTGCCCCTGTATTAAAGTCTCAATAATTATTTTAAAGTCAGCTCTTGCCATAGAGAACAATGCCTGTGAGAGCTTTCTTCCTATAGGGCAGGGGTTCTTAATCTTTTTTTTGTCATAGACTCCTTTGGCACTTTGGAGAAGCCTACTGACCTCTTCCCAGAATGATGTTTATAAATGTTAAAAAAAAAATTTGGATTAAAAAGAAAACTAATTACATTGAAATGAAGACATAATTCTTTCCCCATCCAAGATTACAGACCCCTTGAAGTCTCTACATGGACCACAGGTAAAGAACTCCTGCTATCCAGACTTTCAAGAACAGTTGGAAATTAAGGCCTACACATACAGCTGGGCCTAAAAACACCTAGGTAACTAGAAACTGAGATAAAAATGTTCTAAGCTCATTAATCTTTCGAATCTCACTTCCTACCTGCCTCCCTCCCATCATTACTCTGTGTGCCTCTGTGTGTGTGTGTGTGTGTGTGTGTGTGTGTGTGTGTGTGTGTGTGTGTGTGTGTTTTAACCTCATTTACACTTCAGACACTGTTTCCCGTCTCTGCTTCCAATTCCCTTCATGATATTGGCTTTTTCATGCTGCAGTTGTGCTCCCTAACAGTAGAAACAGCTACAAACTGTTCTTCCCTCCCTAAATCAGTTATTTCACTAAGCATCATACCACCAACTCAGCCATAGCCATTGACAGGCCCAGCTGTAGCAACATTACAAAAAGACTGTTCCCATTTAACAAAAGGATGCGTCAGAGGATCTTTTAAATAGCAAGCTCCCCGAGAGCACTTAAATACGTGTTTATAATCATCAGTTACTTGACAGGCTGATAGAGAACACTATGCAGCTTCCTGGGAGTGGAGAGGAAGGCAAAGACACTTCAATGTGTTTGGAGCCAATGCCAACTAAAGATCACCAGGAAAGAACATAAAGAAATTCTGAAATGATAATATAAACCAATGAGGATGATGTGATTCTATCTACAGAAAAAAGTTATTTGCATAGAACTCTTCAGTGACGCTTTTATTCAGTATAATGCAATAGGTTTTTTCCTTAATATTTCTTTTTAATTTAAAATCACCTACCTCTCAATCATTTCTCAATTCATGCCTTGGCTCTCTCCAATTTATATCAGAGGCATCCAAATGTGTGAGGGAAACAAGAAATAATGGGCTTTTGAGGAAAATCTAAGCATTGTGAGAATCAGATGAGACAATAATTGTAAAGTGCTTAGCACAGTGCTTGGCACATAGTAAGCATTATATAAATGTTAGGTAGTATTATTTATTTGAAGGAGTATAAAGAAGCTAAGAAAGGAAGCTTTATCTCCCAAGACATATTAAGTGCTTCTTCAAAGAGATGATTTCAACCCAGGGTATTTAATTATTACTTAGTGTGTTAAGTTGGAAAGGGAAGATCAATAATTCAAATGCACTAAACATTTAGAGGAGCTATACAGAAACAAAAATCAAATTTTATGATTTTATTGCTTGTTCCCTCTATTTCTTTGGTTTGGCCCTGTTATTTCATTAGTGTAAAAAACTCCAAGTATAAAAATGTCATCCACTGATGCAAACTGGCAACTTTTGGGAAACTCTTAGTCTTAAAGAGATTTCCTGGAACACTAAAAGGCTAAGTAAATGGTCCCCAGTAAGATAACTAGCATGTACTGAGCATGGTTGTATATGCCCATAATCTTAGATGCTTGGGAGGCACAGCAGATTTTTCAAGCTCAGAAGTTCTAAACCAAGGTGGGCAGTGGTGATTGAGTATCTACACTAAGTTTGACATCAATACAATGAGCCCCCAGAAGCAAGGGGCCACCAGGTTGCCTGAGAAGACGCAAATCAGCCCAGTTTGGAAACAGATCAAATCAAAGCTTCCATGTCAATCAGGAGGAGGATCAGGTTTATGAGTAGCTTCTGAACCCAGCCTGGGTGGGTTAAACAAGTAAATAAAAAAGCCCATATAGCTATTATGTATCAGAAGTAAAACCTGAACCCAAGTCTTTCTAGCCCCAAACCTGCTTCAATATCAATTATACCATACTGCATCTCTTTCATGCATAACTGGGCAATTTTGAAAAGGTTACTTTTATTCATGAGGTTGTTTAGTCATTCAAGAGCTTTGGTATTGTTTTCTTTGGAGATTATTTTTTTAGTCATAATTTGGAGCTGAAATACAACCCATCCATAAAAAGTGTTTTATATTTACCTTCCCCTATTCTTTCAATTAACTATTTTAACTCATTTACATGCCGACAGAATTAACTATCATGTTAGTGCTTTTTAATAAACAAACATTCTTACCAGGAAACTTTGACATCTGTGCCAGGGAGTGGACAGGTCTTACTATCTTGATTTAGAATAGTGGGGTAAACTTCTAGGCCTGCATTTACAGTGATAACTGGCCTGGCTCTGTGGTGGTGATGGTTGTATTTTAAGAGAAAAAAAAAAAAAGAAAAGATGAATAGGGAGAAACTTTTAAATTTTAGCAGGTTAGATACACAGATACATGTAGATTATATTTGTTAAATGTGCTCAGTTCAGGGTGTCTCATCTCCAAATAGGAGCCAGAGAGCTGGGATATGTAAACATCAATTTTTTCATAATACCCAAAATTAAGATCATCCATCACAAACCAAAGAGACCAAATTTTACAGTCTTAGTGCTGGTTTGCTAAGCATGTATAAACACAGTCCAAAAATGAAGTGTAGTTACTAAGGAATACAAATGGAAAATGTTAGTGGGGCAGGGTAGATATGGAAAAGCTTTTCTGTTGACATCTTAGCACATATGGAATTGATGAAGTACAGATGCATGAAAACTGTCCTAAATTGCAAAAGGAAAAAATATAGTAATAAGACATTAAAAATCATAGTATACAGCAACAGAATAGGAACACAAATGATATGAATACTTAATTTCTCCAGCAGGACTATTTATATTAGAACTACTCGAAATTTATTTCCTTGACTTTTGCAGAACTATTTTTTAATGCTACAGCCAAATACAGAGATAAAAACAGAAAAAAATGTAAACTTTTTGAAAATAAACCAGTGAATGACATTTTTTTAAACAATTTTTACTTTTTTTTAACTTATTATAAACACATCAGATAGACTAACACTTAGCTGCAATGAAATACTGGATGTCAAGTATTAACAATTACTCCCTCAGGGTTAAGTTGAAGTTCATATATTACTTAGTATTTAGTTACAGAATTATCAAATGACTCTGGATCACTTCCTAAAAGAGGCTCTAGAAGCCTTGCTTACCTATATAAAACAGCTCGGTCCACACCAAAAGCACCCACGATTAAATCTAAAAAAGAATAAAACCATGTTATTTATAAATTGTTACTAATTAATAAAAAATAAATTTTCCCTGGCTAGAATTATTATAATTTTAATTTATAGTTCTGGTCAAGCTTATTCACTTCCTATTCCTATATTCTTATAAAATAAGGACTCTGAGATTCTCATAAATTTTTTCCCCCAATGATGAGTCTTAACATTATATCTAAATGGGGAAATGGGGAAAATGTAGAAGAATTAAATAAGTTACTACAAAGTCTAAATCCTGGACTATAGCTTGAATCTCTATTCTAAATAGATAAAAAATGTATTCACATACAGTTTTAATGAGATCCAATAGGGATTAGAAGATGGTAGAGGGGGAAAAAAAGTATAAATACCTGTGGTTTTCACCACATCAAAGACTTTGACCCGAAGGAAAAAATAATCACTTGTATGTATAACCTATTTCTAGGAACAAGTCTCAGCATGAGCTATGTCACACCATATGTGCCTTCACTCTGTGTACAAAAAGGGAAATTAATTTCCAATTCCCTAATTGCCTTTTTTATGATTTTTATGCTTTTTAGCATTCAAATGTCACAACACATGTAATTTTTTAAATTAAGCTAAACAAACACCAAAGAAAATGGCTTTTTTCCATATAATTAGGTGCATGAGAAACAGTTGCATGGCACAATGGATAGATCACTGGACTTGGAGTCAGGAAGATTTGATTCTTCTAAACTTAAATACTTATTAGCTGTGTGACCCTGGGCAAGTCACTTCACCTCTGTCTACCTCAGTTTCCTAATCTATAAAATGTGAACAATAATAGCATTTAAATCCAAAGGTTGGAGTAGGAATCAAATGAGATAATATTTTCAAAAAAAGCACTTTGCAAACTTTAAAAATGTTGTATAAACACTAGCCATAGTAATAATTATGATCATTATAATTATATTGGTTAGCTGTTATTCCTGTTCTCTAAGAGGACCAAAATGACATCACTATCTTGGGGTCAAAGTACAGTGTGTCTAACTGTGGCTGATTAGATGAATATGAGCTTGGAAGCTTCTCCCACAAGTCAGTCACAAATAGTCCCTATTATTATAACCAGAACAAAATGAGAAGATTTTACAAGAAATTTCAGATTTCTTTTCTGTACAGCTTGCTTTTTTTAAAAGCACATAATAAATTCAATCTATGGTTTTCAAAGCCATCCTGCTTGTCTGTGCTTCTCTATGGCCTTCTGATTTTACTTTGCCTTTTTAAAAGAAGATATTTCAATAGTATTACATTATTTTCTTTCTTTTCTGTTTTCATGTGTAATCTACAGGAGGAACATACATTACTAAGCTAAATCTACTCTAAATGTTTAAGTGTAATGAACTCAGAAAATTTTTGCAGAACATTAAGTTCTCCATTTTATATATATATATATGAATGTATGTATGTATGTATGTATGTAGGTATGTGTGTATATTAAAGTCATGTTCTTCTGTTGCAATCCTAGATAGGAAAAATGAAAGTTATATTGTTAATTAGAATTATATATGCATAAGTTCATGTACACAATTCTATTTGACTACATAGTTCCTAGTTATATGGTTTATGTATACATATATAAAGATTTCTATGTAGACATATACATTTATACATGTATATGTGTAAATGTACACATATGTATAAAATAATGTGATCTGCTTTCATAAACATACATTTTTAAGGTTGGAAGTTTTTAGAGAATATTTAGTGCAATCTCCTCACTTTGCAGTTACAGAAACTGAGACCAAGAAAGATGAAAAGATTTGCCCAAAGCCACCTGACTAGTTAGTAACAAACTAAGGCCAGAACCCAGGCATCCTGACTTTCAGGAATTTTTTCATACCCCATCTTTCCTTATTGCCCTTCACCAAAATCATATAGAAATCAGTTAAATATAAGAGCTTGATATTTCATTTTTATTATAAATCAAGATAGTCAACATTGATTCTACAGATGATTTAACATATATGTGTACATTATTTTACCTGGGTATCCATTTTGATCTATATCTGTGGCTCCTTTCAATGAGTACCCAAAGCTTGGTGGCATAGCCCGGGCAGCCCACTGTCCTTCTAGGATTTGAGATGGCACTGAATTTAAGCCTGTGGCTCTTCCATTGTAGATATAAACAATCCCTCGTTTGTCCTCTCCCCCATAGGGGGCAGCAATCGCAACATCTGTGAATAAAAAGGGAAGACTTCAGAAAGCAGGAAAAAGACTTATGGATTTCCATAAATTACTCCAGTAGATGAATGCAACATTAAAGCTTGAGTGCAGCACTGTTTATTCAAAGGCAATGCTTCAATTCAAATTGAAACAAACCAGATCCCTCAGGCATGTTGCTGGTTTCTAAGTAGTAAAGATCAGTCTGGCCCAGAAAAATGTTTCAGCAGGATGTACTTATGGAAACAAGACAGTTCTGTGGCATAGAGATATTTTCCAGCTCTTGTAATATTTGCAATTAATGCCTGACTTTGGCTGTCAGAAACTCTTATCTTTGGAAGCAAGGACGGCAGCAAGAAATGAAGCTGGCACAAGAAACTTCCAAGTTAAAAACTGAACCTAAAACTAAACCCCACAGACAGTGACCCCCAGGAACCTGCCCTGGATATTAGTGTATTCTCTTCCTCAAATTATCATATATTTACTTCCCTCCATAGAATATTAAGTTCTTTGAAGGCAAGAACTGTTTCTATATCCCTTGCATCTAGCACAATGCCTTGCATATAGAAAGTGTTTAATAAATACTTGTTAAATTGCATTGAATTGGACAGGTAGATAAAGAACATGTGTCATCAATATGACAGTTTCTGTGCATTACTCTGATCTTTCCAGTTCAATTTCTGTACAAAATCAAGAAATACACATCTATATTGGCTGCCTTCTGAAGCTTTCCTGGGATCACCATTATGCTTCTTACCTTGGCTTAGAAGGTCTTTTAGCTTGTACACTGTTATATAAATCTGTTAAAGAACTTGAACTCCTGGGCATTCTAACCATGTAACTAATGGTATTCCTGTTTCTTAATTTTATTACAGACCGGATCAACATTAAAATAATGTGGGAGGTTAAGTTTCTTAAGGTAAACAGCATTCCCTAGATATATCTGCCTTATAAAAAGCATAGTTTAAATAACATTGAATATCTGAGTCAAAGGGGAGTCACAGAGCTATGTTTAGATTAGTCATGTAATTAAAAACTAAATTAAAATACATACCTTAAAGCCTGCCCACAAAACTGTGATGTATTTAGGATTTCATCACATTTAATAGTATCTTCTTTCACATTTATAATAGCAATTCACAGTCAAGACCTCAGCATATTGCTAAAATTTTATCAGTTATAGAAAAAAAAGCAAAACCAGCCTATTATTCTTGCAGAAGTCATAGAACAGTCAAGTAGATTAAAGAAGGAGGAGGATTATACATTCCAGATGATTTCAAATGAAAAAGAAAACTTCAAAAGTTGCCTGGATTTTGAGGGGATTTCTAACCATCTTAATATGAAAGGTAGTAGGAAGATATTCCATTTGAAGCAATTTGTACTATGAATTTAACATTAAAAAATGTCATAATGGATTAGACCAATTAAGGGATATTCTGGGAGACCATGATTCTTCTGGATAATATTAACTTCCAAAGGTTAGGACTATGCTTCATATATACTACCTTTTATCAACATCCACTTTTGGAGCTATCATCCATTATAAAATCTAAAGCTTCACTGAATCTATTTATGTTTCTTTCTAATAACAAGTTTATTAGCTATTAACCCAAACAAGTACTTACCTCATTTGTCTAACAAATGCCTCTTTGAAGCTTCAGTAATAACCATACCCTTAAAATTGTTGTCATATATGCAGGAAGGTGATAAAGATAACTGGATATCTGGGGCAGCTAGGTGGCACAGTGGACAGAGCTCCGGCCTTGGAGTCAGGAGGACCTGAGTTCAAATTCGGCCTCAGACACTTGACACTAGCTGTGTGATCCTGGGTAAGTCACTTAACCCTGATTGCCTCACCAAAAAGAAAAAAAAAGGTAACTGGATATCAAATTTTGATAGATTCTAGCATTTGCAATTAGGTAAACAAAAGTTCATATCTACCCTATTATAATTTTATACATATTTATCATATCTTTCTTTTTTTCTAATCTTGAATAGTAATACTGTTGCTGCTACTGTTAAGGCTCTCCTCACAAAAGAAACTCATCTACCTCCTTCATCCCTTTCTTAGGAATTTTGACTACAACTGCACACTATATTCTCAGACATAGACGTTATGCTTTTGTACAAAGGTAGGAGACTGTCTCCTGCTTTGTTTCTAGTGTCCTTCCTTAATATCCAAACCCCATATTTATGACCTGTTTAGCAATGGTAGATTGGTCTGATGTCTCCAAGTACCAACCTGTGTCTTGTCCTTGATACATATGAAAAGTTCATAGTCCATCATTTGATAAATTCAGCTTGGATAATTTTCTCTAAAGGTGTTAAGGGAATATAATCCCTAAAGTCACTCTTTTATTACAAGACTTCTAAATGCCAAACTTTCATGGTACTGAAATCTTTGACATTATATTTTAGGAAACAAAATTTATGTCTGAATAGCTTTTCCCAGTTACTAATTTATTAGGATGGTTTTAGATATTAAATATCAAATAAACAACTTTCCATCAAGATGTGACACAAGTGTAGGAGGGAAAGGAAGTGCTTGAACTACATGGAGTGATTGTAGTCTTGGCCTCTTCAGGTTTTAAAATGCAATAGTTTGTGGATTTTTTTTTCTGGACATCAATAGATTACAGGAAGGACTCGACAGATTGATTTGTCATTAGGTTGCTATACAAATCTTCCACTGTCACTATTTTGTTAAGAAAAAAAGCTCACTCCCTCACCTTTACTCCTTTATGAACTGAGAGATATCCTTGAAATACTCTAAAGCAGAATATTTGGGATTTTTGTCTGGTTTGTTGCTTTTTGTTTTTAAAGTTAACAGTTTCTTACACATTGTCTCATCCTTGATGTAGGGACAAAAATGCTGTTAATGTGTCCAATGCAATTCAATTCAGCAAACATTTATAAAGTGCCTATTAGGTATAAAGAAATATGGTAGGTACTTGGGATATAAAAAATTAAAGTGTTCGTGACCTCAAGGAGCTTACATTCCACTGGATGTAGTCCAACGTCTAGGGTGAAATGCTGTTCTGTTTACTGTTGTTCAATCATTTCCGGTGTGTCTGACCCTTAGTAACACCATTTGGGGTTTTCTTGGCAAAGAAACTGGAGTGATTTGCCGTTTTCTTCTCCAGTGGATCCAGTAGATCTATTCTGTCAGGCCATCAGAGATTAAGTGACTTGACCAGGGTCCCATAGCTAGAAAGTGTCTGAAGCTGGATTTGAACTCAGGTCTTCCTAACTCCAGGCCCAGTGCTCTATCCACTAAGCCACCAGCTGCCTCCAACTATTGACACATTTTCTGCATGAGGGAAATCAAAGAATTCTGCCACATATTTTTGCTGAAGAGAAGAATTAAGAGAGATATGAAACATTTTTAAGTATTTAAAGAGCTGTCACATGGAGAAGAGAGTAAACTTGTTCTGTTTGTTCCAGAGAAGAGAGCTAAGAGCAATGAGTGGAAGTTACAGAGAAAGATTTTGGCTTTATGTCAGGGAAATGATCATAGGATCATATACTTAGAGCTGGAAATGACTTCAGAGATAATTCAATCCAACTTCCTCATTTTAAAGATGAGCAGAATGAGGTGCAGGGATATTGAGTGACTTGTTAGGGGTCACACAAATTGCGTCTAAGGCAGGACTTGAACTCATTTCTTCCCTACTTTAAATCCAGTACCCTATATATTTTGTCACTTATTTGCTTAAAATTAGAGCTATCCAAAAGTGGAATGGACTCCCATAATAAATGATGGATTTCCCTTGCCCAGGCAATTTTACATTTTCTGCTAACTCAGCACAAGAGGGCACTATAGCTTAGCAGAATATATAGTCTGTTCTTTTCACAAAGGACATTGATAATAGCAGCATTAAGACCAACAAGAAGTCCCACAAACTACAGTATAGAGTATATGTCTATGGGTAGCAACAATAATGATGTTACCAATGAATTAATCTGATAATACATTCCTAAAAACAAAAAAGACAATTCAGTAGAGACTGATTTTTTTTTAAAGTGGATAACTTACAAGAAGGAAGTAGTAAGTTTTTGTCTAATATAATATATTATTCATTGAAGCTGAACCCTTTCTTTGGAAAGAAAATTGTTATCATCAACTACAATATATAAGATCTCCATGACTTTATGGCTGAGCATGGCAAGTCAACAGCCAACTGTTAATGAAATTGTGTCTTACCATTGAAGCCATCCTGGTCAAGATCTCCCAGAGGGGCAATAGCACTACCAAATCTGGCAAAGATCTCAAAGCCATTCAGCTTTACGATCTGAAAACCTCCTGAAGCTTGCTGCAGGCATATGGAGACCTGACCCACTTCCTGAAGTTTGCCATCAGACCCACGATCCATGAAGAGAGGAGCTCCAATAAACACATCTGCATAACTGTAAAGAAAAGTCTTTCAACATTCATATAGTCTTGCGTATACCTATCAATAACAATTTTCTACTTGTCACTAACTTATCTCTCATTTTTGCATCCCTCATAACTATGCAGACACATGAAGTGCTCTCTAGGGTGATCATTTCCGCTTCGTGTCTACCTTCAAGTTTGTGTAGCATCTGCACACTATTTGTACCATGAGTTCATTCCTTGATACTAGAAAGATTAACAGAAAGCAAAAGATCTGTCTCCAATTAGGATTACAAATTATGTGACCATATTAAACATTTTTAAGATGAACTGTGTTTTACAGAACTGCATGAGAGAAAAGTATATCCAGAAACAGAAGAGGGAAAAAAAATTACTCTAAGCCAGTTATTTAGACTTAGTAAAGCTATTCATAAACAATGAGAGAAACTGTTTCAGGAAACTTTTTTTTTAATAAAAACTTACTTATCCCCATTAATGTCAGTGGCAGCTACAGAAAATCCAAAATATGCAGCCATCTGGATAACAAGATGAAAATGATATGTTAAAATTCCATCTAACTGGTTTATAGATGCCATTTTTGTCTTTTATTTTTCAAACAGAATAAAATGTTTTCACATGTCTTCAAATTTTCAAAATTTTTATGTTCCCCCTCCATTATTATCATCCTTTAAAAAAAACCAACAATTTGGTAACAAGGTACATATTTGCTGTCGTTAAGTCTGTGACAGTAAGAACATGAGAATCCTAAATAAACATCATTCAAATGACTCTGAGGTTCTGCCATTTGTCCCAAGGTTTTATCACCCAGAACTGCCATTTAACTACATCAATGGTGGATTTCCTTCCTGTCTTGCATTCTTTCCCATTACTCTGAAACTCACACACATTTCTTTTCTAGTTGAATTCCCGAAGCTGACATTTCTCATATAGAAAATAAACTCACATTAAAAATTGGCAATTGCTACTTGCTGGAAAATTTAAAAATGAATAAAAAGGGATTTTTTAATTGCTAATTTTAAATAAATTGTCTTTTTAAGAGAGGTGGAAATTTTGTTCCTCCTTACCTATCACTTTGCTAGTTTATTTTATGGTTATAATACACTAGATTCACTCTTTTATCCAGTGACATTCTCCCCCAAATCCACAGAAGGGGGATTTGTATATTAATGGATATTAATTCCAAATCCCATTTAGATTGCTATAAAGCTAATATCAACAGTATTTAATACAATGGCATTCTCAGTAGGCAAAAATGTATTTCTCTAATCTAAAAATTATTATTGTTTTAATAATTAATAATGTAATGCTATTGATTACTTTTTCCTATACATTCTCTTTAGGATTTTGTGATACCGCTCTATCTTAGCTCTCCTTCTCCTACCTGTCTCAACTCTCCTTCACAGTCTCTTTATCAATGTCATGTCTATTAATTGTATGTATTACCCAAGACTCTGTCCTGGGCCCTTTCTTCTTTTATACATGTGTTACCTCTTTTGGTGAGTTCATCAGCTTATACAAGTTGAATTATCATCTCTATGCAAATGATTCTTATATCTATATACAGCATTAGTTTCCCTCCTATGGTTCTAACTAGGTAGAGGGAAGCAAATAAGTAATTATTATTGTTAGTATTATTTATTATGATGATAGCTTACCTTTATATAGTGCTTTTTATAGCACTATACAAGGCACTGTGCTAAGCACTTTATGAATATTATCTCATTTGATTTTCACAACAACTTTGGTAGGTAGGTGCTATTATTACCCTCATTTTACAAATGAGAAAACTGAGGCAAATAAAGGTTAAGTGACTTGACCAAGGGTACACAGTGTCTGAGGTCAGATTTTAACTCAAGACTTCCTGATTCCAGATCCAGCACTTTATCCACTGTGTCACTTAGCTGCCTATATATTGGACATTTCATGATGGGTAGGCACCTCAAATTCAACATGTCCAAAACATAACTATCCCTCCCTTTCCCCAAACTCCCTCTCCTGAATTTCCCTATTACTATCAAGAGCACCACCACTCTAGCAGTCACTCAGGCTCATAAACCTCAGCGTCATCTTTGACTACTCATTCTCAAATGCCCAACATATCTAAACAGTTGCCAACTTTTGCAATTTCCACCTTCACGATATCACATATGCATGTCCCCTTTTCTCTACTCAGATAGCCACCCCTCTAGTTCAGACCTTTATCACCTCTCACCTAGAACACTACAAGGACCTTTTTATTAGTCTCCCTGATTCACTTCTCTTTTCATGTCAATCTATCCTCAAATAAGCTGCAAATGATTTTCCTAAAGCTTAGTTCGTCCTACCCTACTCAATAAACTCCAGTGGCTCCTTACTTATTGCAGCATCAAATACAAAATACATTGTTTGTACTTCATGCTCTTTACAACTTAGTGCTTTCCTAACTTTCCAGTCTTCATACACTTTACTCTCTTCCACACACTCTATAATACTGTCATTCTGAACCATTGGCTGTTTTCCACATATAATACTCGGTTTTTCATCTCCAATCTCTTATCTCTGTACGGGATTTCCCCTAGTGACGAAATTCTCTGCCTCCTCACCCCTATCTCTGAGAATCTGGGGCTTCCTTCAAAATTCAGATCACACACCTGCCTTCTGCAGGAGGTCCTACTCTAAGGTTCCCTTCCATCTACTGTGCATGTATTTTTTTATTTACCCTAATAAGTTACATGTTTTCTCCCTCATTAAAATTTAAGCTCCTTGAGGTCATGAAACATTTTTGCCTTTCTTTATAATCTCAGTGTTTAAACAGTGTTGAGCACATAGTAAGTACTTAATGCTTGATTCTTTCATAAATGTTAAAGGATTTATTTTTAAATTATTTGAATACGTATTGATTAAACTCTATTTTATTATTTTGCTATTCTTTTCTTTAAAAGCTATTTAATTGGCTAATTCTAAAATGTATATAATACAGACTGTCTCAAAATGTCTTATATAGGAGGGGAAATTTGGTACTTTAAATTTTCTTTTGATTGAAGTAAAAAGCTTTGTTTTGAACAACAGACAAAACAAAGTTTATACGTATTACCAATGTGCAAATATGGACATACCATGGTGTTCTAAGTAAAAGATAGCCATCAAGACTCAAAAACTTTGCTACATAACAAATCAAGAAAAGAATGATATTTTCCTACCACAGTTTCAAAAGGATCTCCTTAAACTAATTATTCTGATATTAAAAATAAAAGGCCTTAACTGCCAAATTAAGAATATTATACATTCATTATAAAAGTTAGAAACATACATTTTTTAAAACATACATCATATTTTTATATGTATGTCTGACTATAATATATCTATTATGTACATATGCATATATAATTTGCAGTTTATTAAATTAATATATATTAAATATGAAGCAATTTAAGAGGCTTACCTGTTCTCCAGTAAAATTATACAAAGAAGACATATTTTTTCCATCATAAATATAAACCTGTTTAGGATAAATGAAATTTTATGAAAATATGGTAAAATATGAGATGATCTAACTTCTATAAAGGACTTTAATTTTCCTACCATTCCCAATGTCCTTGCAGCTCTCGGGACTCCAGAAACAAAGTCTGAAAAAACACAGTGACTTTAATTACTAAGATGAGTATAACTAAGCTTATGGTTAGTAGGAATCTGCATACTAGGAGATATTTCATTTTGTTTTTTTTTAATAACAGAAACAAAAAACTAAAACTGATGTGTTGATTTCTGGCTGTGGCTAAGGATTCATGTTCAAAGTAACACTAAGTTATTAGTGAAGCCCGTAACCAAATCTTTCTAAAACTCTAGAAAATAACCAGTGTATACTTCAGAGGATATACTTCTGTCCTCATAAGATCTAACTGAAGAGACAACATGGAAAATAAAACGCATAAGAATAACACAAAGAATATGTACTTGGGTATAAAATAATAAAGAGAAAATTGAGTAGAGAAATGCAGAGCAGACAGTATTCCAAATTAGATGGAGTTAATAATTCAAGACATTGCAGAATAAGTGTGAAGGAAAATTGATGGGGATTAGAAGGCAAAATTTAGGGGAAAGAAAAGGGTATTACAAATGAGGGAAGTGATATATATATATAAGGGGGGGGGAGGAAATTACTAAATTGTTCAGTAATGTTAAGAAAGTTAGCCTACAAGAGAGGAATGTAGGAGAAAAGTCAATACAATGGCTAACATTATGGAAAGGCCCAACATAGCTAGTTGATTCAACTGTAAGGCTGCAGATAGCAGTGAAGCTTTGGTATATGAGAGGAGTAGCTGCCATGCAGGAAAGTGTTGCCAGTTGTATTTAAGAAGGAGGAAGCTAGAAAACTTTCACTAGGTTGGCAAACCTTCCATCTTATAAGCAGTTTATATAGTTTTAGAGTGAAAGTATGACCCACATAAATTGCAGCGGCTCGTTATTTGGATTTTTCCAAGAGAAGAAACTTCTCTGAACTAGATGTATGTTCATGTTGATTCCTGAATTCTATCATCTGAAAGAAAACAGGGGAGAACATATCTACCTGTGTCTTCCCCAAGTGTTTGATATCATGTAGCAGGGAATACTGCCATTCCTACTTGGCAAAGGATGTCTGTTCTTAGTCTATAATAAGAAGGCCTTTCAGATTCATTTTTGGACAGCACTTGTTTGGAAATAGTACCCACCACTCAAAGAGCGTGTTTTGAGAGTCTAAACATAAAAATAAGTTTTGTTTTCTTTTTTTTGGGGGGGGAAGGGGGTGGTGAACATGTTTCTATCTGTTTGGATATAAGATTGCTAATAATGCTTGAAATGTTAAGCAAAGCAGTTTATATTTAAGGTGTGGACAATGGGTGCCACTGTAAATTCCTAAGGAGAGCCTCAGAGTAAGTGATAGCATTAATCCTATATTACTTGAGCCTACAAAGGAATGAGAATTATAGTTTTGAGGAAGCACTAGAGAAAAACAAACCTAGACTACATTTTAAAAGGTCTAGAACAGGCCTGCACAATGTGCACCCCACCAAAGGATTTCTTCTACATACAAAGGATGTTTTTTCCTGCCTGAAATCCTTTGGAGTGGGCCTTAAGCAGCTCGTGGGCCACAGATTGAGCAGGCCTGGTCTAGAATTATCCTTAATATACTAAAATGTACATTTTTGCATTGTTTTATTCCATAATCATGATATTTCTAAACCTATTTTCACCACTGCAATCTCTAGCCATCACATGCTCTGAATACTTAAAAACTTTAACCATGTTTATTTTATATTATTTTATTTGGCTTTTTGGTGAGGCAATCAAGGTTAAGTGACTTGCCCACGATCACACAGCTAGTAAGTGTCAAGTGTCTAAGGCCAATTTGAATTCAGGTCTTCCTGACTCCAAGGCCAGAGCTCTATCCACTGCACCACCTAGCTTCCCCCCTACTCCATGTTTGTTTGTTTAAGAAAAAATATCATACCTTCTATACCATCATCATTGAAGTCCCCAACAGCCACGGAGTAGCCTGCACAGAAAACCAAAAGTAACAAACTATAAGATTTTCTTAGACTCTGATACAACTTTTAAAAATTCTATAATTCTACTGATAATTTAAATTATAATTATGATCAGAGTAGCAAAATGTACATATTTGATATATATGTATAAGAAAAAAGATTTTGTTTGGGTTTTTTTTGGGAGGGTGGGGATTTGGCTACGCAATAGGGTTAAGTGACTTGCCAAGGTTCACACATTTAGAAAGTTTTATGGGTCTCAGGCCGAATTTGAACTCAGTTCCTCCTGACTCCAAGGCCAGTGCTTTATCTACTGCACCATCTAGCTGCCCCTAGAAACAAGATTTTAAATAAGAGCAATTGCACTAAATACTTCAATAGGATGCATCCATTAGAACAATATATTGATGGGCTACCTTAATTTTATTTATATAGCTTAAGCTGCAAGCAAGACCAAATTTGCAATCACTGATCCTGACAGAGGAAAGGGAATCATTGAGCTAATAAGCCAGATTTTCTCTGCCTAGTAAATTATTGTTTTTACCTTTTCATGTTCATATGTAGCTTTTTAAGGAATGTTAATTATGAGGGGTAATCAGATTCTATGTGTATGCTCCACCTCAAAATAAAAAATTCTCTAATTTTTCAAGGGGAAAATATCTTAATCAAAGTAAAGAAGAGGAGAATACTGACTTTGCATAGAATGAAGACACTTGAATTCATTTTTAGTATAAAGATGTAATTTGCTGAAATGTACCAAGGGCCATAAAGGCCATGACGTATGATGTATCCCATACAGTGTTTACAAAATTCATACTGCATGTCATTTCTAAACATTCCAAGATTTCATACAGAAAAACAAAGCAAAATTCAGTCCTCTTCTTATTACATAGCGCCTGGCACTAAGCACTTACTAAATGTCTACTCTCATTGATTGCTTGGTTAATATTTTAAATAATAATAGCTAGCAATTGCAAAGCGCTAGAAGATTTGCAAAGCACTCTACAAAATTATCTCATTTAATCCTCACAACAACCCTGGAAAGTAGGTGTAATTATTTTCCTATTTCACAGAAGAAGAAATGGAGGCAGACAAAAGGTTAAACGCCTTAACTAAGGGTCATATGGCCTCTAAGTGTTTGAAGTTAAATTTGAATTCAGGCTTTCCTGATTCCAGGTCCAATGCTCTATTCACTGTACCACTCAGTGGCCTCTGTTACTGTTTTTTAAGAATTTGTCTCTACCAAAGGGCATTAGCTACTTAAAAAGGATAAATCTGCTCCAGTCTCATCAGCACTCTAAAAAATACACACACACACACACACACACACACCAGAAAAAATAAAGGCCTCTTTAAGCCAGTGGCAAATTATCATTTTTATTTTATTTCATAAGTACTATAAGTATTTATTTCATAATTATTACTGTTACTTATAATACTTATTTCATAAGTATCATGTATATTTCATATTTTGTGATGTAGTTTCTGCTCTGTTATTATACCAAAATTAAGTTAATAGAATTGAAAAAACAAATTTAAGCCAATATAATTTGAAAACCTGAGATGAAGATAATATCTACAATATCAATACATTGATTAAAAGAAATCTGATGAAAAAGAAGCAGTTCATATTTATGTCATGCTTTTCAAAATATTTCCTAATAACTGAGGTAGACAGTGAAAATATTATTGATTCTTTTTGTATAGATGGAGAAGCTGAGTTCAGAGAGATCAAAAGATGTGTCCAAGGTCACACAACTCTGATTCAAACCCAGGACATCCAACTCTACACCAAATGTTCTTTCTTAAGTTCTTCAGTGCTCAAAAAAATTTTTTTTCACAAATATGTTCATGGTAATAGCAAGTCATATTTATGTCGTATCCAAAAGTCATAAAGTAATTATACATAGAACAAGTAATGCCATCACCCTGGCTCCGATACTTACGGTTTCCTTAACCATAAAATAAGGGGAGGGTTTAATTAGATGATCACTAAGGTTCGTTCCAGATCTAGATCCTATGATTCCCATTTTATAAAATGAGAAAACTGGAATTCAGACAACGTAAGTGAATTAAAGCGCAGAGCAGCATCTTATTGTACAGAAGGCACTGGAATTGAAGCCACGTAAGATGCCAGTTAAAATCCCACCTCAGACACTAGCTATTTGATCCTAATTAAGCAACTTAATCTTTCTGTGCCTCAGTTTCCTCATTTGTAAAGGTGTGGAAGTTAGACTTGATGGCATATAAAGTCCCTCCTAGGTCTAAATCTAGGTTCTCATGATTTGCCCGTGGCCAAACAGCTAGTGTCACTTTTAGAATTTAAATTCAGTTATCTCCTCTCTCCAAGTCCAAGGCTCTTTCTATTTTGCCATGCTATTTCTCAATTCAACAGCAAAAAAAAAATGAACATTTTATACAACATTAATAAACTACCTAGAAAAGAGTGAGGTGTTTTTTTTCTTCTTCTTCAAAGGATTCTATTTGGTAGGTAAACAACTTATGAATAAACAAGAGATAGAGAGCAAAGTTAGCTGTAAAATGGGAAATTTAGATTGCATTAAATTAAAAAGGTTTTGTGCAAATAAAACAAATGTAACCAAGATCGGAAGGAAAGCAGAAAACTGCCAAAAAATTTATAGATAGTTTCTCAGATAAAGATCTCTTATCTAAAATATATAAAGAACTTTGTCAAACTTATAAGAATATGAGTCATTTCCCAAATGATAAATAGTTAAAGGATACAAATAGGCAGTTTGCAATGAAAAAATCAAAACAATTTATAATCATATGAAAAAAATGCTCTAAACCATTATTGATTAGAGAAATGTGGATTAAAACAACTTGACATATCATTTTACACCTACCAGATTGGCTAAAATGATTGAAAGGGGAAAAGATAATGTTGTAGGGGATTTTGAAAAATTGGGACACTAATTCATTTTTGGTGGACTTGTTAACTGATTCAACCATTTTAGAGAGCAATCTGCGATTACATCCAAACTGTTATTAAACTACTTACACCCATTGACCCAGCAATACCACTACTAGGTCTCTTTTCCAAAGATGATTTAGGGAAAAAAGAAAAAGAGCCCATATGTTCCAAAATGTTTATAGTGGCCCTTTTTGTGGTGGCAAAGAATTGGCATTTGAGGGGATGCCCATCAATTGGGGAATGGTTGAACAAGTTGTGGTATATAATTGTGATGGAATACAATTGTGCTATAAGAAATGATGAGCTCAATAGTCTTATAAAAACATGGAAAGACTTGCATGAAATAATGAAGAGTGAAAAGAGCAGAACCAAGAGAATATTGTATACAGTAACAGCAATATTGTTTTAAGAACAACTTCGAGCAAATAAGTTATTCTATTATAAATACTCAAATTAACCATAAAGGACATAGGAAGAAAGATGCTGTCTGCATCCAGAGAAAGAACTGATGAATAAAAGTATGTATAGAATAGTTTTACATACACATACATATTTTATATATATGTAAACATACACCCATTTGTATCTAATGGTGGCTATCTGGGCGGGGAAGAAAAATAAACAAGAAAAGGAAAAAAAATTTACATGATTACTTGTACATTTAAAAGGAATAGCAAGTTGTACAAAGTAGATTTGCAGTTTCATGTGCAATCATCTTTTTTATTATACTGTTATTAAAATGCTTGTTTTATTCCACAAATTAAAAATAAAATTTTAAAAATAGGATTACATATTTTGAATACCTACCTAGGTAGCTGTCATCAAAAACAGCCTGAGCTGTCCGAGTTGCTAATTGGTTATTATATTTGATGCTGTATACACGGGGGTCATATTTAGACACAATTTCTGCCACTTGATCAGAAATGAGCTGACCTAAAAAAATAAAAAGAATGTTGTGACTTTCCAGTAGAGTTTCTCTTATGAACCTTTTTTAAAAAAAAAAAGATTAACTCTTTGTTTTGTTTTCTTTTTTTTCCTAATGTCATCATTGGATGTTAGTTGGTAATACTACTTGGAATGCTTAAGCAAGAATCCAACTATTCAACTCCTCAGTCACACATGTGAAAAACAAACTAGAAGTCTGAAGACAGGTTTAATGAGATCTCTTCACTCATTCACAATTATTTCTTATTCTACCTATCAATTGCTAAGCAGCTCCATGAAGATAAATTAGGCATTTAATGAAGTACATGGACTAGTTCAGCTTCAGAATGACACTAGCATTTAAGAAAAGGGACCTGGAATTCTTCAGGCTATTCCTCTAACACTTCAAGCAAGACCTTAAAAAAAATAAAAGCCTAGGATTTTTTTTCTTGTTGTTATTGTTGTTGTTGTTGTGTGGGAGAGAAGTTTCCATGATGCCAACCAATTCAAATAAGTTCTTTCACTAACTGATTTTATTTTGGGCAGTGTGGTCACATACACAGCCTCAAAATGTAGTGGAAAACATTAATTTTCTTGTCTGTACAGCTCTGGCTCTAAGTCAGTCCATGGGATACCCAAGTTAAGTCCATATGACTACAGACAAATGAGACCAGACAGAAAAAAAAATAGGTTAGATTCACCATAGAGTTAGAACCTAGAAACACTAGTAGTTTCTCCATTTGTTCAATGGTAAAGGCAGAGCTCTATTCTGAATTCTGAAGATTAAATTTTTTGTGTTTATCTAATTTGCTTGTCAGGTAGCCATAACATATAACACAGACAAAACAATGAGGATAAAGACAGTAAACATTATCTTTATCAACATTTTCATTTATTACCATTTTATCATCCCATCTTCCACAGCAAGCCTTTCCCAAACTCTCTTAATTCTAGTGACTTCCATCTGTTAATGATTTCCTTTCTATCCTGTATATACCTTGTTTCTGCTTATTTGTTTGCTTGTTATCTCCTCCATTAGGACGTGAGCTCCTTGAGGGCAGGAACTGTCTTTTGGATTTTTTTTTCATCTGTAGCATTTAGCACAGTGCCTAGCACATGGTAGGCACTTAGTAAATGTTTACTGAATGATTTTCATAGCAGAACTCAAATCTTAATATTCTTGTGTATTTTACTACCATGTCTAGAATTAATTCTGTTCATTTTTTTTTTTGAAGCACCAGTGACTTTCTTTTGACTAAAGTATTCTCTCATTCACGGAGTTAGTCATTGCAATTATTATTAAATTCTAGCCTCCATGTTATTCACACTGCTGTTGCTAACAATAATAAAAACTTCACTGAACATTACGTCAACAGTTGAGAAATCTTTTTAGAGACCTTAGCATAGTTCAAATTTATAGTGTGCAGAAATACATCAACAAACACCACTCAAATAAATATTCACATTTTATTTACAAAATTTCAAATGCAATAACTCATCTAAGTTAATTTTTTAAATATATCACCAGTCATGTCACAAAAAGAGAAGGGTTAATAAATAACTCTGATGCTCAAAATCTATCTTCCTGACAGTGTTTTGGCTCACAGACATACCCATGTGATGTTTCCTCGTCTCCCACAGCATGCCAGTCTGTTCATGTAGGCAGGCAGTCAGTGGGGGTGGGGAAGGAGGGCAGAAAGGGAATGAATTTTTTTAAATCCCATGTAGAAAGCTCAGAGATTTAGCACATTCCATTACTCTGTTTTCAAAACTGTCAAATTTTTAGTTCTGTATTTCAGTAAATTGTTTCATTTTCCCTTTAGATGAAATATAAAGAATTCATAAAAATTCAAATCAAAATATGCTAGTGCAGCTGATGTTCTCTACTAACATCCTCCTATTCCCTGATTTGCATTTTTCAGTCTCTTTATTCCCCATCCAACTTCCTTATCCTTTTTTCCTTATTTATTCCATATTTTCCTCTTCTTCAATTAATCTATTCTTTATTCCCCTTTACCTATAGAAAGTCTGAACTTTCAGTTGTCACTAGAACAAATCTATTTACGCTAATAAAAAAAAGGAGGGTAGGGGTGGGATGTGGAACAGGGTATTACTTATGGATTAAACAATTAAAAATTGCACTCTGGGGAATCCTTCCAGAAGAATTAGAAGCAGCTTCTACTTGCAACTCACTTCTCAACACAAATGTGAAGACACTATTTGGAAATCTCAAAGCTATTTTCCTGGAAAAATTCAATTCCATTCAAGGGCTGAAAAACAGTCATTAGCTCTAAATACAGAAAGAACAGCCTCTCTGGTCCTCCAATGACCAAGAGAAGAAAGCAAGGAAAAGGGAACACTGGATGGACAGATTGATGCATGCATACATTTCTACGCATATATGTATATTCTTTTCTAATAAATTCCTTATCTTAAAAAATTGTTCATGTTATTGATTTGTTTAGAGGGATGTACTGAAGCCAGCTCTAAAATTTTCAGTGTGAACATTTATACCCCTAAAGTCAACAAATGCTACAAATCAGGCCTTGATTAGCTGTTTTGTTGATTGTCTAAACTTAAGAAAGTAATGGAGAAAGTGCTAATAATAGAGACTGAATTTAAAAGCCTGCCTGGCATTTTCTAGAAAGCTTGTTGGTAAACATTTAACTGCACACCCTTGGCTAAATTCTACCACAAACAAGAATACCTCAAGGTTAATGACCTGAGAATCTGTTTCAGATATCTTGAGTTTTAATTTCTTAGATCTACAATCTAACAATATACGCCTTTTACCTAAAGGTCATCTCTGTTTAGTTTGAACAGTCTGATCTCAACAATTGCAAGCTATGCGAAGAAAAAGGATCTAATACTTTATAGCCACACGAAGGCACTAAGAATTACACAAAACCAGAATGCTGCCAACAACCCCTAGTTTCTATAAAGAAATGTTTGCTCTTTGTCTAGCGTATAAATTATCTCTATAATTCACTCTTTCCCAAAGACTCAGGCAAAGAAAGTCTAGATAACTTAAAAAAAAAGACATCTTAATATGACCAAAATCCAGAATCTGGATAATTTTCTGTTATGACAGTTTCTGACTCTACCAAATGCTGACAAAACTCAGATATTAATGTCCCCATGAACTATACAGGATCCTGATTTTTATAAGCAGAAGACAAAAAAGGCAAAAAGAAATTAAATATTTAAAAACTACATGGAAAATGAAGTTAGAAAAGAAGTTACCTATTAATTTCATTTTTTTTAACCATTCATTTATACAGATTCTATTTCCATTCTGTTTCATAGCCAATGGTAAAAGCTATGGATTGCTTAAATAGTATTTTTTTAAAAAAACCATACAGACCCATCTGTTTAAGGAATGACTAAAAAGACTTTGGTAATTAATATAATGGAATAGGGCAGCTCTGTAAAAAACAATGAATAGAAAGAATTCCAAAAAGGTATGGGAAAACTCATGTGAACTGATACAAAGTAAAATAAGGAGTACCAGGAAAATAATGACTGTAACATAATATAAGTAAAAAGAACAACCACAGCAGAAAAGGTAAGTGAACACTGTGTAATTAAAGTAACCTAGAGTGGCCCCACAGAAAAGACTTAAAAAAGCACCTCCCTCCCTTCTTTGCAAAGGTGTGTGGGCTATGAGTGTAGAACATTACATATACCTCCAGACTCAGTTGATATGTTGGTTAGTTTTGTTGAACAGTTCCCCCACACCCTTTTTTATTCTTCCTATTCTTTGTGACAGGAAATAGCTCAGTGGGTAGGAGAAGGAGTGGGGTAATATTCATATATAAAGGTGATATAAATATAAAAAATATGAATGATAATTTTAAGAGACCATCTAGGGTAGTTCAAGAAAGCGGATACCTCTCCTGTATGTTCTCTCTTTCCCAGTGAATGCCACACTTGATTTTGATTAGTAAATAAAATTTTCATTCAAAAGATCTATTACTTTTATTTAAAATATTTTAAACCCAAAATTCAGAATCACAAATTGAATATGCATCTAAGCACATAGCAACAACATTTAGCTTAAATGGCTTTTAAGAAGCTAATTTTTAATCTTTGAGCAGCCATATAGTAGTACCATATTTATTCACTTAGTTATAACACATGTAGCAACTATACAAAGAACACATATCATAAACTCTCTCAAATTACATGTATCACCTTTTCCATTTTTCAAAAATTGGTAAAGGAATAGTGTTGAGTCACAAAAACAATATTTCTCAATTCTTCTCATATTTAATTTGGAAACATATTTTTGAGACAAAATAAGTTAGCAAAAGTTAATATCAGGTATTAAACAATGTGATTAACCTACCTTGCCAATAAAAACTGCCAGGACCTCCCAGAAGTACTCTGTCTGCCTGGGGGGGGGGGAAGGAATGATGTAGAAAAAAATTCTTTTAAAAAGATATAAATTTTAAATTAACAAAATTAATAAATATTGGATAAATTAAAGTAACTTTAAAATTAAAATTCATTCTACTTTCAGGTTGGGTAACTGTCATCTTTACTGAAACATATTTTAAAAACAAAAAGGAGGGGCAACTAGATGGCACAGGAGATAAAGCACCGGCCCTGGATTCAGGAGAACCTGAGTTTAAATCCGGCCTCAGACACATAACACTTACTAGCTATGTGACCCTAGGCGAATCACTTAACCCCCATTGCCCAACCAAAAAACAAAAAAAGATATTTAAAAAAAGGAAAGTAAAATATATATTCTCTTAACTCAACATTATCTACCTATTACTTTTTCCACTACATCAAGGATGGCATATCAGTGTACATGTTGATATAAATATGGATCCTCTTACCTTGACTGTATCTGCTAATCTAACTTGGGGGTTTTCTGTTATTATACTTTGATTATCAAAGTTTGTGACTACATAGGCAAATTTCACATCCTGATGACTACCAAAGGAACTTCATGCTTCACTGGAGGGAAATTCTTTTTGGTACCTATGGCAACCATCTGATAGAATTACAGGAGAAACTGAAGGGCAAATTTTTCAGAGCTTATTATAGATAATCTATTGCTAACTTGCCTAGTCCTACTCTGTGGCCATTACTAATTGCAGAAAATTAACTGAGTGTATTAGACACAAAGTATTTACTGTTTCAGCCTAAGATGTTTTTCTTAAATCTTAATACCTTGTTGGGTAAAAATCTATCCCCAAAGTCCAAGTGCCTCTCTTTCCAATAGATCACCACTGTTAGAGCAGTATGACCAGATGATACTAAATTACTAGTAAAATGGTCTTTAATTAAAAATTTGTGATTTTTGGCTTTATAAATTATTTTAAAAGAATAAACTGAGCATCAGAGTTACTCTATATGAAGTAAGAATATTTCCAGTTGAGCACTGGCCCTGGAGTCAGGAGGACCTGAGTTCAAATCCAGCCTCAGACACATAATACTCACTAGCTGTGTGACTCTGGGCAAGTCACTTAACCCCAATTGCCTCACACACACAAATATGTGAGTGTGTGTGTGTGTGTGTGTGTATACACACACATATATATATACATACACACACATACATATATACATATATATATTTCTAGATGTTGTAGTACTATAAAAATTAAGAAAAAATAAGCTGATCTCATAAAATTTAATTATTTTATTAATGTAAAATTATTTATTTTGCGGAGACACCTTAACATTTGAATCATAAATACTTCATTGGTATATCAAGTTAATAGAAAATGGATTATTTAACTAATTTAGGCAAATAGCATAAACATTTCCTTCCTAAATAAAATGCAAGTAAAAGGATAAGAACAAAATATTAATACTTTATTAAATTTTTTAAAAAATCATTATAAGACTGTGATATCTCTGGTTTTCATTAATTTGGCTTATTATAGCCCCTCTTTTCTCACAGTCTACAAAAAAGTCATGTCCTGCTTGTTCTGTTTTTAATCAATATATTCCTGAGTTACCTGGGGCATGACTTACTGCACTGAAATTTATTTTTTTAAAAATACTTGAAAATTTGATAGAGAGAAGAGAAAATATATAAATAAAAAACATTTAAGGAAAGTCTCTTCTTTGCTTGGTTGGTTTTTTTTTTTGGTCTGGTTCTATAGAGATATCCTGGTGACTGGATATATAAGGCGGGGGGTTGGAGTTATGGATAATTCTGAAGTTTATGAACATGGGACACTGAAAGAATGGTAGTGACCTCAAAAGAAAGAAGAAAATTAGAAAAAGGAAATGGTCTGCATGTAGCAGGCAAAATTCTGTTTTGGTTATATTGTGTTGGACATGTCTCTTGGATATCCCATCCTGAAATGTCCAACAGGAAGTTGGTGATATGTGCCCAGAGCTTCAGTGAGAGATCTCAGTAAGAGATCAACCTATGGGAACTGATGAGGTTATTGAGGTAGTGTAAACATAGAAAAATAGGGCCTAGGACAGAGCTTTGGGGTACAGTCACAATTAGAGAGCATAATATGGATGATGAAACAGCAAAGGAGACTGAGGAATCATTAATTTCTACAGGTCCCTTCAAGCTCTAAATCTTTGATCCCATGATTTAGTAACTAAAAGATGATTTGGTAACTTTAGAGAAAGCAGTTTCAGCTGAGTAAAGAGATCAGTGCTCAGACTGCAAAGGGTTTTGAAGTGAGACAAAAGGAAACAAATAATTAGTATAGGCAAGCTTTTTTCAGGAGTTTGGACAAAAGAATTTTAGCTTTGTGGATGGTAGAGTATGGTGAAGTTTTTTGTTGTTGTCTTTTAAGATGTGGGTATGTTGGAAGGCAGTACAGAAGGGGCAGTAGATAAAGAGAGATTAAGAATAGCAAGAGAAGGGGGATGATTAAAGGGGCAATCTGCTAGAGAAAATGGGAGGGGAAGGGATCAAGAGCTCATGGGTTGGCACTGTGGAGAAGGGCTACTTCAGTAACAGAGATTAGAGGAAAAGAGTAGATGCATTTGGGGGGGTATGTGATTAAGAGAAGAGGCAGCTCACACTGAATGGCCTCAATTTTCTCAGCAAAGTTAAAAGATCCTCAGCTAAGAAAGTGAAGGGAAGGTAGGAGGAGATTTTAGGATAGAAGAGAAGGTTCTTTGATGGGGAGTGGGATAAAGAATCAATTAGGGGGGAGCAAAAGCAAAGGCAACCTAGTTAAGATTAGGTAATATAAATAAGATTAGATAATATAAATTAGTTTTGTCCCAATTTGCAGATCCAATTTGCACATAGAGTGGAGAAGATGAATGGCAGGAGCAATTGAAGTCTTAGCAAGAATAACAGTCAAAAGGTGTGTCAGCTTCATGATTCCATCAACTCCCATGGGTTTAATTGTCATTTTAATAGAGATGATCTAGGTTGAGTTGTAGTCTCTCTCCAAAGCTACAATCATGCCTTCCAACTGACTTCTAATCATGATTTAATAATACATTAACAATGTTACCAAGGAAGCCTCTGCCCAAAATAAAATTTTACTTAAATTTTAAAAAATAATTTCCAATTTTCTAATTTGAAATTTGACTATTAATGTTTACCAACTGTCTTTTGGACATGTCAAACTGAGTATTTCCTAGGCATCTCAAACTTAACATGTCAAAGCAAAATGTATCAACTTTCTTCAAATCATAAAGAGCACCACCATTCTCTCAGTCAACCAGGCTCACCTGACCTCAGTGTCATCCTCAGGTCTTACCAGTTCTAATAATGCATCCCCTCTGCTCCCCTCACATAGTCACTACCCTGGTACAGGCACTCTTCAGCTCATTCTTGTATGACTTGCAATGAAATTCTGATTGTTCTCATTGCTTCTAATCTCTCTCCATTGCAATGCATCCTCCATTCAGCTGTCAAAGTGATTTACCTAAAGTTCAGGTCTGACCATGGCATCCATCTATTCTATAAACTCCAAATGGTTTCCTATTTCTATCCAAGATCAAATGTAAAATCTGTTTGCCATTTAAAACCTTTCAAAATCTGCCCCCTTCCTATTTTTCTAATCTGCTTACCCTTTAATCTCCAAACATGCAGCTACATTGGTCCACTTTTCCATCTCCCAACTTTGTGCCTTTTCAATGGCTGTCCCTCATCCCTGGACTGCTCTCTTTCTTTGACTCTACTTGGCTTTCCTCAGATGTCTTTAAGGTTCTGACCAAACCCAATCACTTCAAAAGTTCTTTATTCTTTCCTCTCCCTCCCTAAAACTAATGCTACTAGTTTCTTCCCCTCCATGTACACTCTATATATTTTGTATATACATAGGTATTTGCATGTTATACTACCCATTAGAATGCGAGTTTCTTGAGGAAAAGGAATGTGTTTTTGCTTTTCTTCACATCCCCAGAGCTTAGCAGAGTGCCTGGCACAACGTAAGTGCTTGATAAATACTTGTCTGACTTACCGACATGAGAAAGTACTGAAGTTTAGAGATTGTGATGAGCAGGAAGAATAGGTTTAGTAAAGGTGAAGCACAGGAAGAGATGGAATAATAGAATTTTAGGGTCAGATAGAAGAATGTCAGAGTTTTTGATGAAGGAATTAGAACATCTGTAGGTAATGCTGAGATACAGGGTGTGACTTGGCTGAGCTAGAGTAGAGGAATTATTGCTCATGAGATTTAAGGAGGCTGAGAAACTAGGAGATTAGGGCATTTGAGGGAGCCATCAACATGAATGCTGAAGTCCTCTAGTATCATAGCAGGAGTTGGAAAGGAAAGGAAGATGTGAGCCAAGCTTTGAACTCCTTGACATAGGAGAAAGAATGACCTTGGAGTTGGTAGACAATAGCCACTTTAAGGGTAAAAGTAATTAATAGAGTGATGTTTAAAGGACAAGACATTACTAAGTGATGGCAACAAATGGAGAATCTCTAAAGTGGCAATGGGAGCAAGGAGCATTTTGATTATCTGACTAGGACCAGTATGTCATGGAGTATAAGAAGAGATCCAACTAGAAATGGAGAAGTTGACCAGGATGTAGGGCCATCTAGGTGCAGCCATGTCTCTGTGAGTGAAACTCAACACATATAAAGGCTAAATTATTTTGCTTATAATCTGTATTTTTCACTAGGTACCAAATGATTCTCAAAATCAACATGTTGCAATTAAAAAAAAACCATGGGATTTGGAATCTTCCACCTGGTTTTAAATCCTAGATTGAAGATTAACTGACTGTGTGACCACGAACAAGTCATTTCACATCTCTTGGCCTTAATTTCCTATAAAATAAAGTGTTTGGACTCGATGACATCTGAGATGCTTTGCCAGTTCTAACTCTACGTTCCTATGATGTCCCATAATAATGGCAAAAATCACAATTCATTATATTCTGTTCTAATAATGATTTAATAATATATTAACAATGTTACCAAGAAAGTCCCCACCAAAATAAAATTTGACTTAAACTTCTAAAAATAGTTTGCAATTTAGTCAATTTGAAATTTAACTATTAATTTTTAGAGTAATAGTCACCTATCAGTTTTTGAGGGGAATATTTATTCAGACTCTATAGGAAAACTTGTCCCCTTTGTTGTTTTCCTCTACTATAGTTTACTTATTTTACTGCTTATTATCATTAATTCTAGAGAGGGAAGAAGGAGAAAGAAAAAGGAATGAAATTCAGATCTGCAAATTTTGATATTTAACTGTTTTGTTAATAACAACAATAATAATATCACTTTACTACTACTTAACGGAGCTGTGATTATTGTCATGGTAAGTACTCCTTCCACACAGTTCACAGCCTATTTTATGATTTCATATATATTCTTCAACTGTTGTTGTAGCCAAATTAGCCTAGGCCAATCCTTAACCAAAAGATTCCTATATCTCTAATCCGACAATATAATAATAGCTTAAAAAATTGATGATAACTAAAGTTAAAGTAATTGATGAACATATTTTATTACAATCTGTACATTTCAATTATCCATACTATGTCTAGCTCCCCCATTATCATGGATAATAAAGTAATAAGAAAGATTTTAGTTTCATCTAATATTGAATATGAATCAATAACTTACCTTTGTAAAATCAATGCTGAATCCTCCTTGACAAAATCCCTGTCCATCAGCATCAATATTTCTAAAATAAATATGGGGGAAAAAAGTTACATAAGTCATAAGAAAAACAACTCTGCCATAGTTAAAGAGCTAATGATTTATTGTTGCATTCCAGTAAAGACAACAGGCATTAAGTTTTTTAGAGCTTTATTACTGATAGGCAAAACAAAGATTAAAGCACTTGAATCAATGAATTAGAAACAAGGTTGAAAAAAAAGCTATGATTCTTAGTTCTTCTTCCCCAGTCCTCAACCTTACTATCCCACTTGACTGAACTATGTCACCATTTAATCACCACAAATGCCAGAAAGGAGGTACTTAAAATTTCAATTATATCTTCATGCTTCTTGTACAAAGCTCCAAGATATACTTCTAAAGGTTTATTACAATCCAGAAGGACCATACACTTAAGTAGTTCAGAGTTTCAGGAGATGGTTATGCAGTATGCAAATGAATATCCTCTGAACAGCTCAATGTAAAATAAGAATCAAAATGAATTCTGAGGGGGCTAATAAGGGGCATTGTTATAATTAAATACTTTCAAGGGATCATAAATCTACAGCTGGAAGGGACTTCAAAGGCTATTTCCCCCTCCCATTTTACTGATGAGGAACCTGAGGCCCAGGAAGGTTGAGTGATTTTATATCTTTATATCTCCCTCAGTGCCTTGCAGTATCTTATACATAGTAGATGCTCAATAAGTGTCTGTTGAATTAAAAAACCTAACTTTCCTGGTATCTTTTCTGTCTTACACTATATATGTGTGTGTGTGTGTGTGTGTGTATGCATACATATACATATATACATACATATACGTACATATATACATATAGTGAGAACACTATACTCTGGTTACTAAAGGATTTTTATAAATGAAATATTAGTAAAAATTATTTAGCACAGTGCCTGAAACATACTAGGTACTATACAAATGTTTATTCCCTTCCCATATCCTTTTCTTCCCTGATAGTAATGTATTTAAATAACAAATACACAACACTTTTACTGTTATACGTACATACATACACACACACACACTCTGTTGATATATGAGAAACCAAAACCTCACTTTTTTAAAAGCTTGAACCTTGAACACTCAACAATATAACTTAATTGTATGCTATCTTTTCAGGATATACTCTAAAAATTAAAAAAAATATATATGTTCAGGGATTCCTAATTGATTTTTAATACTAGGGAGCTACTCAGTATCATTCATCTTAGTAATAAAGAGCATAATACTACTACAATTCAAAATTTTTTCTGACCAAAAAGGGACTAGGAAAACATGGAGCTGTACAGTTTCTGAAGCATGGTGAATCATTCTAAGGAATTCTAATGTGACCTCAAGTCAACCATTGTATATCCATTGTTGTAGTTGCATAAGGAGATTATTTCAGGCAATTTGTGAAGATATTCTCTCTTGATTATTGAGCTGTAGGGATAATCTGCAGTGTTTTTATGATCTACACTTTCAAAAAAAGTGCTTTCTTTTTAAGATTTCTTGGCAGGTGCATATTAAACAAGAGAATTTACTTTTCAACATTTTAAAGGGTTTTGTTGTTGAGTTTTGTATATTTTAACAAAGTTTTCTGAATTGACCTGTACTCAAGATTAATGTTCAATTTTTTTTCTTACTATTTCACTAAACTGGCATTAACATATATTTGGGTCCCTACATAATGTAATAATCAAGGGAATGAACAACTACTTCAAAGGACATAGATGAGGTAATTTCTAAACAAATCCTAATACATCAGAAAAGGCTTAGGGGGGAAGAAAAGAAAAAAGAAGAGTCCTGCTTTTAACAATGGAGTTAGAAAAATAATGTTGTAAATGTGTTTCAAGACTCAGTCACCAAAGCTAATCTACATAGAAGGGGAAGATCTATACATATGACCCTTAGCTCTCCTGAGCCCCAGTCCTTTCTCTCCCACTGCTTACCAAATGGCCTCTGAGGCCACCTATCTGACATGTACAAGAATCTCCTCTCTAAATAACACCCCTGACAAGTGCTCCTTTAACTTCAACATGAATCTCTACAGAGGGAAAATTCATCCCAAAGTTGCTGACCCATTTTACTCTGGAGTAACTCATATTGCTTGGAAGTTTCTATCCCACCAAACCTTAAAATTCAACCTGTCTAAAACTGAAATCATCATCTTTTTCTTCTAAACCTTCTCCATCTCTAAAATTCCCAAGCCCTCTTTGTGGTCTCAACAGCACCTCAGTTACAAAGAATCACAACCTCAGAGTCATATTTCACTCTTACTTTTCTTCTTGCTGCCTGCCATCAATAACTTGACTAATTCTGTTGACTAAACCTCTAAGACATCTCTTCTATCTAACCCTTTCTTTCAACTCATTTTGCCACCAGTGTGGTCCAGGGAGGTGACAATTGAGCCCCTCTTTCTAACCTCTTCTTCTTCAATCATTCCTCCATGCAATTGCCAAAATAATCTTCCTAAGGGACTAAACTGACTTCACCATTTTCCCCTTTCAGAAACCTAACTGGTTTTTATGCTATAGGATAAAATACATATCCTTCTCCCTGGCATTTAAGGACCTCTATGATCTGGTACCAACCTGTCTTTCTAGCCTGAATTCACATTAATGTCCTCATACAGTCTACATTTTAGTGACACTGAGGAAAAAGGGTTACCCAAAGTCACACAGATGACCAGTGAAAGAAACGAGATTAGAACCCAGAACCCCTACTTCCTATTCTAATTCTTGTTCATTACACCTAAAAATGAGTCTCTACTTTTGGCCCCAGGAATTAAGTCCTATTGGAATATATGACCTAAACTAACGCAGGTCAGAGAAGAATAAGGCATGATCTTGATACAAGGCACTCTTGCATTTACTTTCAATTGTGAGGTTTTTAATTTGGGGGTTAATTATACTATTAAAATCCTCAATGATTGTTGAAAATTAAAAATAAATTAATTAATTTTAAAAAACCTCAAATCCAAAATGGTTTTACATTCTTGTTTCTTTCAAAAAAAGCTTTCCTTTATCACTATTCTGTCTTAAGAGTTAACTTTCATTACACTCAACAATAAAAAAAAAAGAGGTCACCTTTGAAAGTCATATGCATTCATCCATTCAACAAATGTTCCTTGAGAATCTACAGTGGGCATTTGGTAGTCTAGGCAATTTCCTTCAACCAAGGCTCCATTACCTCCACCCCCTTTCAAAATTACAGTATGGTCTTTTATAAGACCTGACATTCCCCAGTAAGTTAGAAGACTAATCAGGTCATGGCAATGAATGTTTGTATCTAAACAGAAATGTAATCTATCATCAATCATCAGTTTTTTTAACCCACAACGAATAAAGAAGAAGAACATTCATGTGTAAACAATCTGTTGTGATAACTCATTTTTGTATTACCATGGACTCAGAAGTTGCACACATGAGAACGCTTAGAAAACTGAGGCTTACTCTGTTTCAGCACTAGAACACTGTCCTATTATTTTAATTTGCAGATGGAAATCTTCCTAAAATTTATTAATCAAACTGCCCTGGCTTCTTGAGCAGAGAACACTGAACATAATTTAATTTTTTCTTGACATTCATCAATACTCCAAACATCAGTCATTATGCTGTACACAGTAGTGTAATGGATAGAAGACTCGACTTGAAAGCAGGAAGAACTGAGTTCAAATCTGCATCTAATACTTACTAGCTATGTTGTCATGGTCAAGTTACTTAATATCTAAGAACCTCAGTTTATTCATGTAGAACTATGATGATAATAAAAGTACTTATTTCACAGGTCTGTTAGGAAGACCAAATGAAATAATGTAGGTAAAGTATCTTTCAGACCTTAAAATACTTTATAAATGACAGATAGGATGATGATGCCTTTATAAGCTATTGAGGTGTTCAGATTTTTTTTTTTGCCCCTGCATTAAGTGACTCCCAATTATTGTCTGTTTTAAAGTTGAAGTATTTCCTTTTCATAATTTTTTGTTTCTGTCAAAATCAGCTGTCCTTTCTCAATGTCATCAATGTGCCTGTCCTATAAGAACTATGTTCTTCCAGTTTTCTAGTTCTAATCTTCCCTTGGCTTAAGACAAGATAATAAAGATTGTGGGAATTGTGTTAAAGGGAGTAAATAATTTTTGCATTAGAGACTATAAAGTACTAAAGTGCATGGACCTTAAAACATGGGTTGTGTGGTTAATTTTCACATCTAAGAGATCTTTTATATGCTTTCACATTCACCATTAGTACTTTGAATACCTGAAATTGGTGGGAAATGGACCTCTAGATAAATAAGGTTTGCTGTACTTTAAAGTTATCAATCCTAGAAGATTCCAAAAATAAAAATGAAAGAACAACGACTACATCTAAAACTTGGCCTGATTTCATTGATATAGGGAATTTTAGGCAAGGAAAGTCCCTGTTGTAGTACATGCCTGCACCTCCTCTGCAACTTACAGGCCTAGAAAGTGGCCTAGTTCACTGAAAGGTAAAGCGATTTACCCAGAATCACACAGCCAGTATTTATCAGAGATGGGACCTGAACATGGATCTTCCTGGCTTTAAGGGCAGTCCTCTACACCGCTTCCCCAAAATTTGACCTCTATGTTCAATATTATAGTATATCAAGAAAGCAAAATCCAGCCTAAAAAGAGCTAGAAAGGAACAAGAAGGATAAAAACAGAACTTCAAGTTTGAAAACTGTTTAAAAAATTAACCTTGAAACACGATTTATTCATACTAATTCTTAAGAACTCATTCTGTGATATACTCTCTGATTTCCTAATTGAGGGTAGATACCTCAATTAGGGAAATGGCGTATTTACCACATGTTTAGGAAATGTGATAAATGATGGAGGAAGATACCACGTTCTTCCTCACGAAAAAGGCTGCACAAAGTAGTTGCTACCTATTTGGAAAAGAACTTAAAGACAAGGCTGGTTGGAAGAAAACAGACCAAAAGACTAGAGAACAACAACAGCAACAACAATAATAATAGCTAACATTTATATAGTGCTTCCTAGGTGTCAGGCATCATGCTAAGTGCTTTACAATTATTACTTCATTTGATCCTCCCAACAACTCTGGGGGGGTAGGTGCTAGTATTATCCCCATTTTACAGGTGAGGTACACAGCTAATAAGTGTCTTGAGTCCAGGTTTGAACTAAGGTCTTCCTGATGTCAGACTCAGTGCTATATCTACTGTGCCATTTAGCTGCTACCACACAAGGTTTCATAGAAAGATCTGACACGTGTGAATACAAGTTGAATTCCTATTTTATTTGAATTCAATATTTATTTTATTTAAATTTCTAGTTAGCATCAGAAAACTTATGATAAAGAAATATTCCATTCAATAAATATTATTTGCTATTAAACTTTCAATGTTTCTTCAAATCACTGTATCAGAAGGGGCCCACAATGTGAAAAATATCACACTGGGACCTAGAAAACCTAGTTTCAAGTCCCACCTCCAAAAATGACTATGTGTGTAACAGTAGGCAAGTCACTTCATCTGGCTGAAGCTGTTTCTTCTCTGCAAAACAATAATTTGGTATTAATTAATACTAATTTAACTATCTCACAAGGCTGTTGCAAGGAAAGCATCTTCCACAGATGCAGAATACCAACTCATTTGTAACTCAGCTTCAGATACTCAAAGTGACTCGACCAGGGTCATACCACAAGGCAGACCCATGCAGCGAGTCCTGAGGTTGGTCTCCTAACCACTATACCATGCTAGTTCTCAGAAATGTGGTGGTGGTGTCATTATAAGTGGTAACCAATATACAATTCCTATACTGAACTCACTAGGGCAAATCGGAGTTATGAGACTTTTTGTGTGATGATGATTACAGATGTGATTCCAAGATCACCTAATTATGTGAACCACTATTCTATAGGGTGAGAACTAAAATATTCATGGGAAGGCCAGGCAGATTTGTCCACTGTACCCATAGAGTGATAGGATTATATTTACATCCAGACATTTTGATACCATAGGAAAATTAGTCACAGTCTTTATATTAAATTCATTTTGAGCAAATACACAAATTCTCACAAAATAAGCTTTATATCCCTTTCCTAAAAGTTGCTGCAGAGCACAAGGGAAGACTTTGTGTCTTTACGTACTTGACCGGCAGGGAGCATACTCAACAGTCTTTGTTCCATCTTGTAGAAAGCATGTTCCAACAGGTTCTCTCTCTTGTTTCAGTTCAGTCCTCCAATGATACAATGGAGCACAGGCCTGAAGCCAAAAGAAGCAAAAACAAAAAACAAAAAAACAATATTGGTAAAAATTAGTTTTTAAAATCATCTAAATTTTATTTCTCTACCCATCACTTTACACTACTAAAAATTAAGCAGGCAAAGGCACAATAAAACTTAAACTGTTTAGGGTCATGTTGAACACATGAGAATTTGATAAATAAAGCTTTCTGAATGTAGAAAGATTAAAATAAGTATCTTTCTCATACCCTATTGAAGAGCATATAAATTAATCCAAATAAACATCACTTCAAAGAAGTTAACATTTCCAAAAAAGAATTTTAAATGCTCATCAAATGAGAGTCAGTTGGAATTGACACAGAGATTGATTATTTTTTTCCTATGATGAACAGACTCCTTTAAATGGTTCTAAGAATAATATGTTGGCTGAGAAATTGTTTGTTGTTTTCAGAGATGTTTAATTCAGAATTGCATGTAAGAAACATTGTACTACTATTTTACATAGCAGAGACAGAGAAAATAATAATTTCATTTATTGGAAGAAATTTATTAGATTTCCTATTTTTTGTAGCAAAATATACCAACTGACAAATGTAAAAGGCACTATGATATGATAGATCTTGGAGTTGGGAAGACTTACATTCAAGTCCCACCTCCCCACACCATATTGGCTATATGACTGGGCTAGTCACCTAAACTCTAACTGTCCCCAAGCAAATCTCCCAGACTATTTGTAAAGAGAGGCCACAAATCCCAGAAGGTGTTTACTATGAGTTGCCTACACAAATGAAAGTACAAGTTTGTTTTTTGGTTTTGGGGTTTTTTTAAGTAAGGAATAAAGATACTATGTTATATGTGGCTCATTTGCTTATTTCATTTTAGTCTGAAAGATTATAATACAAAACCTATCTTAATTTTCACTAAAACAGAATCATAGAAATAAAACCATTGATAATCTGCTGCCTCAGTTAGTATGGAAGATGAAGGTGAGAGGTTTCATAGCTTAATCACTAGATGGGCCTGCGCTTGACTCAGAAAGTGTAGAATTCAAGTCTGCCACTGACAGATGCTAGCTGTGTAACTCTGGGTGAGCCTCTTTGTGCTTCTAGTTAACTTTAGGACTAGACATCATAAATCTTCATTAATGGAGAGAGTTTCTATGCCAGGAATTCCTTACACCAATAAAATCCTAGTTCAAAAGAAAAAAAATTTTTGATGTGGGGAAGCAGAAGCAGTTCTGTTAGCTATCAAGTTGAATAAGGAATGGGGTCCAAACTTAAGTAACCACTGGGGTTCTAACACAATTGGACAGAAGAGATAAACTAGCTTTTGATTAGATGTCTTTGCAGCCTAGATGAAACGAAGCCTTGGCAGAGAAGAACCTTAAATCACATGTGGGGTAAGGTAATATAACACATATAATAGAAAGGAAAAAACACATTAGTTATTAATCCACCACTGGGGGAGGTGGTATGGAGAGACTACAAAAATTAAAGATTCATTCATCTAAGAAAATATGTTAAAATTTACCATTGCTACTAACACTGAATTACTTTCTTTTCCCCTGTTGAACACAGGGTAGAAACCCTTTCCTGGGATAAAGCCTGCTTTGATGAATTATTAAATAACTTATTTTGTTTGTTAGAAAGTAAAAGAAATTTTCTTTAAAATAAACTTGAGTTTCCTGACAGATGTTTTTAAAAATCTGAGATAGAAGGAAAACGAAATGGTTGAGTCAGTTTTATTTTAAAGATATTAGGGACTTCCTCTTCCCTTCTATTTTATTATTTTATTACTGATGCTTTTTATTTTTTACAACTCATTAATTTATAAATGTATCCCTTCCCTTTCTCAGCAGTCTTAACAAAGATTTAAAATGAAAAAAAGTTCAGTAAAACCAACCAAAACACTGACCACCATCTGAGAGCAAAAAATAAATAAATACTATACCCATAGTACATCACTTCTGTAATTAAGAAATGGATTAACTGGTATAGCAATAAGTCTGTCACTGATTTAGATAATATTGTCATGTTTATACTACCACAACCCAACCATGAGCAATGACTATCCCTTCAGTTGTTAATTCATTCTTCATTTCTTTAAAGAATGTTTTGCAATCATATTTATATGTCTTGAATGTCTCTTGATAAAAAAAAAATTGCTCCAAGATTTCATGCATTTTGCAACACTTTTGAATGGGATTTCTTTTTCTATATCTATTATTTTCTATATTGTCTATATTCTATGTAATCTATATTTTCTATAGTCTAATTTCTATTATTTCTTCCTGCTTTTTAAAAATTGCTATGCAGAAATGCTAATGATTTAGTGGATTTATTTTGTATTCTGCTACTTTACTGAAGTTATTATTTCAATTAGGTTTTTGAAAATTTTCTGGGATTTACTATGAAGTCATCAGCAAATGGGGATGATTTTGTTTATTCTTTAACAATGTTTAAGCCTTTAATTTCTTTTTCTTCTCACTAGAACAATGTCAAACAATAGAGGAAAGAAGGGTATTCTTACATTTTCCCTGTAATTGCTGAAAAGCTTTTAGTGTTTATCCTTTACAACTAATTCTAACCTTTCATTTTAGATATGTACATCTTATCATATTTTAATTGGCATATTCTCAAGTTTTATATCATTTTATTTTTATGAATGAGTACTATACTTTATCAAAGACTTTTTAACAAATCCATCTTGATATAATTATGTGGTTTGGGTTATTCTGAATATCATAATGAGAATTGTTCTAACTGTTGAATTATCTTTGTTATCTCTTGGCAAAAATCTAACATAATAATAAATAACTTTTGGATCATGTTGCTATAATTTTGTTTTTCTCCCTTGAGTTTTATTTAAAATTTTTGTATCAGTATTTGTTTCATAAAGGAAAACTGTTAGAGCATTTTCTGAGTTTTTGAGAATCACTTGCATAAAATAGGCATTAACTGCTCTTTAAATGTTTGATAGAATTCACCTGTAAATCTATCTGGACCAGGAATTTTTTCTTTGGAACTTCCTGTATGTCTTTTTCGATGTTATTTTTCTGAAATTGAGTTGTTTAAGATCTCTATTCCATGTTCTAGTAATCAGGGTATTTTATATTTTCAAGGTAACAACCCATTTTTTAAAAATTATTTGTTTTGTTAATAGTTCTAAATAGTAGATTCTCAAAATTCTTTTTGTTTGTTTTCTGTTGTAAGTATACCTTGTTCTTTTAAAAGAAATTCCTCGGCAATGTGGTTTTTCTCTCTCTTTTTTGTCAGTTTAGTAATATGTTTATTAATTTTACTCTCTTTTCAAAGAACCAGCTTTTCTCTCCTTTCATATCAACTGGGTAATTTTAGTATAAGATTATACAGTATATTGTAATATATTACAAATATACTATAGCAATATAGTATAATTATAACAATATACTAATGAAGTATATTATAAATAACATTTTCAGTTTGTTTTTTAAAAGGAATATTGAATTAGGCTACTGGAAAACTATTCAAAGAAATCCAGAGCAAATGATCTGGAAGAAATGCAACACAGTGAAAAGGTGATTAAAAATAAGCCTCAGAATGACTAAGTGATGATATAGGGCTGTCAAAGGACTAGTTTTGAATGACTTCTAACTTTTAAAGGGTGTATAGCTTGTTAGTATTACTCTTCTAAATGTAGTGCCAGTCTATTTGAAGGCAGATTGGCATTTCAGTCAAATAAAACAAGTAAGTTAAGAAAGGGGTTGGTGAGGAAGTGGTGGAAGGAAGCGTTAACGGTATCCTGAAAAATAACATCTACACATATATCACTGAACTGTGCTGTGGCCAAACCAAATCCAGATTATTACATAGTGTGAGTTACATTTTAGGGAGGATACCAACAAACTGTAGTACAAAGGAGAGTGACCAGTATAGTGAGAGGACTGAAAACCTTGCATGATATTATATCCCTGGAAATCATGCTTAAAATCATATTGTTTGTTCAGTTATTTCAGTCATGTCCAACTCTTCGTGATTCCCATTTGGGGTTTTCTTGGTAGTACTGGAGTGGTTTGCCATGTCCTTCTCCAGCTCATTATTTACAGATGAGGAACTGAGGCAAACAGGGTTAAGTGACTCACCCAGGGAAACCCAGCTAGTAAATATTTGAAGTCAGATTGGAAACTCAGAAGATGAGTCTTCCTGACTTCCAGTGCTGTATCTGCTGTAACACCTAGCTGTCCCTAAATATCAAATATGGAGAATATTTAACTTGGAAAAGAGAAGACTTTGATGGAACATGATGGCTTGCTGCAAATATGTGAAAGGTTGCCCTATGGAGGAGGAAAAAGACTTCTTATGCTTGACTCTGAGAAAATAATGAGTAGGAGTTGCAGAATGGAAGATATGTAAGGGAAACTTTCTAATGATTAGAGCTGTCTAAAAGCGGAATGGGCTGCCTCAGGAAGTGGGGAATTCCCCATATTTGGTGTACTTCAAGCACAAAGTAGACAGATAATCACTGCCAAGGTCATGGTAAAGGGCTTTGCTATTTCAAGTATGGACCAGATGACCTCTGAGGTTCCTTCCAACTCTGAGATTCTGTAAGTTTATTAAACTAGCAGGTGAAGACAGAAGAGATTTGAAAGAGTTTTTGTGGTTCCTGAACAAAGGCTGAAAAAAGTTTAAGATAGCTAAAATTTAGTTACTGCACTGGATGCTTAATATGCCTTCCTGGAACAGTAAAGATGTGATTAATTTTATTACAAATGATACATTTGCTAATAATTTTAATTGTTTTATTCCATTAGTGGTTTAAAGACATTTGGGATCCTTTTTACCATCCCACAAAATGTTCATGATTCCTTCCCAACCACATTAACTGTCACAGGCATGAAGAATTGAGTGACAGTAAACACCAGTAGAAAATGGTTATATTTTCCATCTTTGTGAAATTCTTTCTTGACATATTTTGTCTCTTTATCCCAACTTCCCAAACCCCCATAAATAGATCATTGGGTGTGTGTGTGTGTGTGTGTGTGTGTGTGTGTGTGTGTGTGTGTGTGTGTGTAGATATAAATATAAAGACATAGATATGGACATAGATATAGATAGGTATCATAGCTTGATTGAGCTGAAAGGCTTCTTAAAGATAATCTAGTCCAACTCCCTCTTTTCACAAATGAGGAAATTGAGATCTATAAATGGCTACATGTAGACCTGGGATTCGAACCCAGGTCTCCTGATTCTTTGTCTGATGTTCTTTCCCTTTCCTATGCTACCCACCTGTTTTATAAAAATCTTTGACAGAAAAAGAGAGGGAAAAAATCACAAATTTTTTTATTATTTTGATGAAAGGTAAGTAGTTAGGTTAAACTAAAGTTTGAGATAGTCCTTTTGAAATTCTGAATTAATTAATTAAAATTCTAAATTCTAAAATTTGGGCTCACAAAAGTTTTCTTCAGTCCACAGCAAACTCCCCTTCCAAACTCCACTGACGCATCACAATAAGAGCACTTACTATCATCCAGTTTCACACCTCACTGAGATCCTTCACTCCTCACTTTTATCTACCTCTCATATTCAGTCTGTTGCCAAATCTTCACATTTCTATCTTCACAACATCTTTCACGTGCATCCCCTTTTCTCTACACTCATACAGACATCACTCTAGTTCAGGCCTCCATCACCTCTTACCTGGATTATTGCCAAAGCCTCCTATTTAGTCCAACACACCTAAAGCTTTTCTACATTCCCATACATCCTCCATTCACCGCTAAATAAATTTTCCTAAAGCAGATATCCAATCATGTCATTTCCCTATTCATGAAACCCTAGGATATCTCTAGGACAAAATATAAACTCCTTTGTTTGGCATTTATCTTCCTAACTTGGCATCTTCTTATCTTTCTAGCTCTCACACATTAGTAGCCTCCATGCATACTATGACACAGTCAAACTGGAATACCTGCTGTACTACCATGCTTCTACATCTCCCACGCATAGAATGTACTTCTTTTTCACTTCTAGCATTTAGAACGCCTAGTTTCCCTCAAGACTCAATTCAAGAGGGGCAGCTAGGTGGCACAGTGGATACAGTACCAGCCCTGGAGTCAGGAGGACCTGAATTCAAATTTGGCCTCAGACACTTAATACTTTCTAGCTGTGTGACTCTGGGCAAGTCATTTAACCCCAATTGTCTCACTAAAAACAAACAAAAACAAACAAACAAAAAAGACTCAGTTCAAGTGCCACCTTTCAATATAGCTTTCTTGTTCCATTCTCCTCCCCCCATACCCCTAATGTACTCTCTCCCAAACTAATTTGCATCCTTATTGTGATTATACATATATAATATGCATATATATGTGTGTGTCTGTGTGTGTGTGTGTATATATATATATATATATATAAGTAATATACATATACACACACATACATATGTATGAATGCACACATACGTGTATATATATGTTGCTGTGCTGTTGGTCAGTTGTTTTTCAGGTGTGTCCAGCTCTTTGTGATCCCATTTGGGTTTTTTTTGGCCAAGATACTGGAGTGGTTTGCTATTTCCTTCTCCAGACCAGTTACAGATGAGGAAGCTGAGGCAAACAAGGTTAAGTGACCTGCCCAGAGTCATACAGGTAGTGTCAAAGGCTAGATTTGAGGGGCAGCTATATGGAGCAGTGGATAGAGCACTGGCCTTGGATTCAGGAGGACCTGAGTTCAAACCCAACCTCAGACACATAACACTTACTAGCTGTATGACCCTGGGTAAGTCACTTAACCCCACTGCCTAGCCAAAAAAAAAGAGGCTAGATTTGAACTCAGGAAGATGAATCTTCCTGATTCCAGGCCCAGCACTCTATCTACTGTACTACCTAGTTGCCCTGCATGTGTATATGTATATAAATACACACACACACACACACACACACACACACACACACACACTCTTATATATGTAGATAATGTATTTTTGTTATAAGCTGCTTGGGGCAGACATTATTTCAATTTTATCTTTGCATCCCCAAGACTCAGCCCAGTCCTGGGCACATCATAAACATTTAACAAATGCTTGTTGATTGAGCGAAATTGTCTATGCTTCCAAACACCTAAGAAAGAGCCTATATATGTGTTTTGGGGTCAATTCTATTCATAGACATGGCAGTTCAGTAGTATCATTTTAAATTAAATAAGTCAGATATGCATTTTGTGTGAACTGGCTCTATTTCCTGCATTAGATTATAATTTCCCATAGCAAACACAAAAGAGCTATGTTTAATACATAGCTCTTTACAAAATGAGTCTTTGATGAAAACTGTTGCTTAATCAAAAACTTCATTCCTACTTATTACATATCCTTTCATTCCACTGTGGCTCATATCATTAAGCTAAAAATCTGGCATATTCTTACAGCTAAATATGAAGTTTACACAGACATATAAAGAACTCTAAGGGAAAATTAACAACAATAATAGTAATCTTAATAAATAACAACAACTAGCACTTTTTGCCAAATGCTTCAAAATATCATTTTATCCTCACAACAGCACTAAAAAGTAGATGCTCTTACTATCCTATTTTACAGAGAAGAAAACCAAGGTTGAGAGGGGCTAAGTGACTTGTACAGAGTCACAAAAGTATCTGAGGGAATATTTGAACCCAGCTCTTCCTGACTCCAAGTCTAGTACTTTTATCCATTGTGCCATTTAGTTGCACCCTAATGATCAGAAAAGCAAAAAGGAAAAAAAAAAGCAAACTTAAAGTTCCTTTTAAAGCCAACTGTTTGATTACATTTAGATATTTTGAACATATACATGTTATTTCCACAGTTTCCACACTAGATTTTCTTGGCTAACCTACTAAGTAAATTGTCTAAAGGACTTACCAAAATTTTATTCTGTTTAGCTCTCACGGAAGCTCCAAACCACTGGTGAGACTTAAACTCCAATGGATCATTCTTGGCATAATCTCTATTGCCTAAAGAAGAAAATTGGGAGGAAAGAAACCCCTAAACATTATTTTAAATAATGCAGCAAACTGTTTTTTAAATCTAGCATGGGAAGGAAATGGTGATGGTTAACCAAATATTTTATTTGACAGAGATATACACACATGGATTATCAATTTTTTAAGAGTTGGGTTTAAATTATTAAAACATCTTAATAGTTGATTAATAGTGAACATCATTTAGTCTATCTTTGAATGGAAGGTGAGAAAATTGTGGGAACTGAGTGAACCAAAATGACTTCATCTTGTGACTCAATTTTGGATCTAATGCAGTGCCCTTTCTATTCAATTATGGGTCTAGTCCAACTTCTGTCTCATGAGAAAACTTTGTTTAATTATGGGAATTGTAAGAAAACTTTATTGCATTGTTTGAACCTAGCTCTGCATGGCTGGGAAGCTAGACCATCTCTACCTGTTGTTTAGAGACCTTTAACTAAGGACCTAGATTATGCTGACCAGAAATCCAGTTAGTTCCAAAGACTGATGCAAAGAATTTTCTCATGTTTATACATCTCAAGCAACCTATAAGTCTTATCTGAAAACTAGCTCCATGCTGCTCAATCAGTTACTGTTTTCATGTTCCTTTGAATGAACACAGTTACTTAGAGGGAGTGGGATACTTCTTTTTCTGATTTCAGGGAACTAAACCTATTTGTTCTCTCCTTCTCAACTCAGAAATTTCCTAATCTTTCCTCTAATTAGAAATCAGATTACCTAATTATAATCCTGTTTTATATCCTGATTATTATTCCTTTAATGAATAAAAATCTGTCTCCCCCTGTATTCAAGGTCCCATGCCAAGCTGAAGAGGCCAGGTCCAGATTTTTTATGCAATTGGTATGTACTGCTTAATAAGTCTATATGCTTGGAAACTCAAATCTAAGATTTCACCTACCACAAAGGCACTTAATAATCCTCCAGTGTCCATGTCCCCATTATAAACATCAATTTTTCCTGTGCTATATTTGTGCAGAAGTGTTGATACATTCTGTTGTAGCCTAGATAATTAATCAACCAACAAGAGTGCCCACAATGTGCATAGAAGTTTTACTGAAGAATTATCTCCCTGAAAAATGATGAAAATTAAAATTAATATGAACCCATTATAACACTGCTACCAGGAGAAAAGGCTAACATTCACAATATTAGTTATATTTTTTTAGGAAACATGATTTCACCAATTTATCCAATTTAAATTTTTGATATATCCAAACTAGTATAAGATTGAGCTATGCAAGAAGAAAAATCCTATTATATACATTCTTTTTTTTTAATGACAAACTATAAAATGAGATGCCAGAAATGGGCAAACACAAAAAAATTGGCTTAGTATACCTAAAGGATTTGGTTTAGTGAAACAGAATGGTGCTTTACAGACTCTTTTACAACAACAAGGTGTTTTCCATACACACACTAAAAGTCATTCAAGATTCCTTGGACGATACACACACACACACACACACACAAAAAATAAACAAACAAACACAAACCCTATTCAATGACCCTCTAATATTATATACCAGGCAAAGGGCAAAGGCTCACCAATGGAGGTCGTACTGGAATGGAGGACATATAGCAGAATCCAGGGAGAATAAGGATTTTCTGTGGATGATGATGATGATGCCCCCTAGATAACTTTTGTTTGTAAATAACATTGTGCTGATTAAATCAAGCCTCAGAACACTGCAGAATCTCCTGGAAGAGATCCATCATCCTGACCAAACATACAGGAAAGACCAAATGTATCAAGAATGTTTATTGCCCAGATTTCAGCATGCATTTGGAAGGTCAACCTATAGAACTTGTCCTTCAGTATATATATCTGGGATAAACAGTGCAAACCAGATATTGGGTTGGGCCCACAGTTGGATAGGAAGAGAGTGGATCTTTGGGAAGTTGAAAATTCCTTCACTCCATTACCAAGGAAAGAAAATCTTTTCAATCTTTCTAATACCAATATTTATTGAAGAATAAATGAAAAATGAATATACAGAATGAAATAGAGAACTACATGGTGACTGTGAACAGCCTACAACATGTAACCAATGAGGAACTTTGAAGAACAGAAATAAAAGATGTAATTAAGTAATTATACAAATAGGAAAAGAAAATAGACTGGTCATATAGCAAAAGTGAGGGATGACAGGTGAGCAGCCAGAAACCATGGTTGGCATCCTTGAGATGCCAGAAGAAAGTGATGAAGGTCCCTAGCAATTGAGAAGATGCTGCTGGTGAACCTATAAGATGGAATAGATGAGTCACACAGAATGTGCAGGCTTGGATTAGATTGAAATCCACATCAATGGAGATAGCTTTTAAATTGATGAGATTACAGATCCAGTTGAGTATGAGAGTACCAACAGACTTCTTCACATGTTTAGGTAAATTTTTCTATATATATAATTAGTTTTGACCAATAATTCAAAATAACTATAAACCACGAGGGTCCTTCCAGAAGTATAAAGCTCCTCAAAAGGTATAGGTCAAATCCCATTACTACAAAATCTCTATATAACAAAAGCTTTGTAAGTTACAGATATTAGCCAACTTATATAGCCATACATACTATGATACAACCTAATGCAACTGAATTTAACTAGACTGTTGCTTAAAATTTTTGCAATAGAAAATGATATATATTATAATGTGGTACACTCAAGGTGACATTACAAACCTAACTAAAAGATACTAGTTATACAAATTGTAAAATTTATCATAAACCATGAAATTTTATCATCTTTTCTGGAGTTTTCTGCCTGCGAGTATTTCTCTTTCTCTTTACTCCATGAACAATACGATAGGAAAAAGAACATGATATGGTGAAAAGAGCAATGAATTAGGAGTCAGAAAAATTTAATTCTAGTCTTGCCTCTCCCATTAGCCACCTGGGTCATTTCAGATAAGCATATCAACAATTCTGGACCTTGGCTATCTCATCTGTAAAATGAGGAGGTTGAACTAGGTGTATTCTCTCAGGGTCATTACAGCTGAACACTATTTTTCTATAAACCATACACTCTGGCCATGACTCAAATTCAATTCCAAGGTCAAAATGAGGGGAAGATTTTTCTCCCCTGCAGATTAGATTACACAAAAATTAAACTCTGGTGCCACTCCAAGAAATGTCACAATGGTTCAGGAGTTGTTGATTCCTCAACACTTTGACCTTCTGTTGTTCTCGTTGTTGTTTGTCCTTCATTCTGGAAAAGGACTAATGCCATCAGGAAGGCAATGTCTTGACTTGCAAATGAATTGGACTTAAGTGAGGCAGGGCTGTGCAAAGTCACCAGCCTCACTCTCTCCTCCAGAACCATCTGGTTCCAGTGGCAAGATATGTATCAGAACAACTGGAAGTGGACCTGCATGCAGGGAGAGACTTTGGCCTTTTTAAGCTAAGGTCTTTCCCAGGCCTTTCCACAGGTTGTCTGAAACGCCCATTCAGTGATTAAGTTTAGGTAAGAAATGAGGCTAAAAAAAAAAAGACCTCTTTTACCTAGTCAAAAAAAAAAATCCATCTGGAAGTAGAAGACCCTCAGGATTTCTGGCCAAAACAGAAACAACTGCTATTTACACTCACTCTGAGCCATCAAAACCCAAACTATGACCAAGTAAGGCTGAAAGTGGAACATACTGTTGGCCAATCAGTGAGAGTCAAAGTGATTTGGGTTTAAGGCATGATTTTCAAAAATTATAGAATACATAAGTGGGGAAGAGGAACAAAATAAAACCCCAAGATATCTTGCAAGGTTTCAGTGATCAAAATTTATATTCCTTTAGACAGAACATCTACAGGTAAGGGTATGATTCCCTATGTGGACAGAAGGAGAGAAGAGCAAAAGAAAGAGGAAGGAAAGAGAGGAAGGAAAGAGAGAAGGAAGGAAGGAAAAAGAGGAAAAGGAAGGAGGAAGGAAGGAAGGAAGGAAGGAAGGAAGGAAGGAAGGAAGGAAGGAAGGAAGGAAGGAAGGAAGAGGGAGAGAGGGAGGGAAGGAAGGAGGGAGAGAGAAAAAGTGATTGGCCAATTAGAACTAGCCAATTGGGTTCCCAGTGGGGCAGCTACCACTACTCACAGATTCTTGTTGGTCCTTCATTCTCAAAGAGGACCAATGACATAAGGAAGGTGATATCTTGACTTGCAAGTGAGCTAAAAGAAGAAAGTGCACTGGCAGTGATTAATCAATGTTTCAAAAACCAATAAGTAACAGGTAATAATACTATGAGGCTCACAGCCCATGTAAACACCAATGCTTGACTCTCAAACACTGTACCTCAAAGTCTACTGAGCCAGGAGGTTAAATAGAACTTGAGTGTAATTTTAGTATCTATCATATTTATTGAGTAACATTTTATATTTCCTATTCTGAATTATAAACAGAAAAATACCTAATTAAGTTGATCTTTGTGTATGGCATTCAATTGGTCTTTTTTTCCTTTGGGCCAAAATTCCTCAACAGATATGTTTTTCTACCTCTGATCTGTTACATACATGTACACAGACACATGTACACAAAAAATGTTTTCTAACTTAAAAGATGACCTTCATGAATATTGAAAACATTTGTGTAAGCTTATGAGAATAGGAGCTGTCTCTATTTATGCTAAGTATGTAACTCAGATCACCCAACAACGTTTTATATACTAAGGTGCTTAATCAATAGTTGATGACATCAATGATAATGAAGAAAAATAACCAGATTCTCCTTTCTTATCTTGGCACCACACATAAAGTAACAGGCTTTCATCAAAGGTTTGTGAGCCTACCTTAAGTACCACCCCTTTATGTAGGAAAGTAAGAGGAAAATGCTCAAAAAAAAATCAGTTGATTATCAAGCGTTTATTAAACACTTCCTATGGGCCAAACACTAAGGATAAAAAGATGAAAGTAAAACTATCCCTAACATCAAGAAGTCTAACTTGTAATCTGGTAGTCAACACATACATGCAAACATACATACATGTGTTTGAATATGTAT